CCATCACTTCTTGCCGTTGAATCAGCCAAGGTCTAACTGCATCAAAGGTCTAATTGCAGTAAAAGTGAGGTCGAGTAACTTGACGCTGCTCTCTCACGTGCTTCACATCCAAGTGTACACCTTGGAGTCAAAGGTAGGCCTTTGGCTCAATAGGTTTCATGCTTGCAGGGGGCACGGAGACCGATTTCCCATCCGTGCCAACGAAGCTACGGAAATCAGTTGGAAGAGAGTTGGGACGCCAACTCTTGTACCTGCACTTTGAATGGTTTGGTTGTGATGTTGTGTAACGACGCTGTCAAAAGCTGGAATCTTCTGAAAGCTTTGGAAGCCCTGGATCTCTTTGAGCTGTTGAGACTTGCACGCCATGGTCAGACCGCTTTACATGCGTTCACCCCTGTTTCCTTCGATTTCTTTACTCAGGCTAGTTCGTGTGCATCTTTTCCCGGGCGTTTTTTTGTGCCAGGTTGTTCTGGATGGCTGCCTAGCTGTTGCAACTCAAACTTCTCTTTGGTGTTTGCAGCAGTTGCGCCTCTTTTTCGCGGCAACATGTAAGATGATATTTGTACATTGTTCCAATGATCTTCGCTGCAGGTTGTGGTGGGGTGGTGGGGTTTGCTTGCTCTTGGGCCGATCGCCTGTTTTGGATCAACTTGCCCCAACTCTGGACAGTCTTGATCCCTTTTGTGACCCCTTTTGTCGTTGAGTCGCAGGTGACTGGCCAGGATCTATGCAACAATCCGGACTTCGTGTGCAACACTGCAGAGAATGGCTTTGTAACAGCCATCGGGTATTGGATGAAGAACTGCCAAGAATGGGACGCCTCTCACACCTTCGACGCAGCTTTGGCAGCAATTCGGCCGGCCAACACACAAGCCAATCCAGAGCGCAGAGCGTCGTTCTATGAGTGGTTGAAAGCATTGGGCATTTCGCCGGTGACAACTACACCAAAGCCGCCCATGCCCGATGAGGGCGAGACACAGGTCAAGGCAGGCGAGGGGTGCTGGCAAATTGCGGATCGTTGTTGCGATGGGCAGGCCGGACTTGACAAAGAACACCGTTCAAGCCACAACAGCTTGCAATAAAGAAACTGCAACTTCCAAAAGTGTTCCATTGCAATAAAGACACTCATAGAAACATGTTCCACGGACCCCCCAAAGTGTCCAATCTATGAGCCTTCCTCCCAAAGTGCCCGGTTTCCTGCAGGGCGCTGACTATGCGACAGTCATTTGTGATCCACCAGCGTGCAGTCCTGGCCCTTCCGCGGGCACGACCATCAAGTACAATTGCAAAGGATGCAATTGATCGCATTTTAGTCTCCTTCACCATATGTCCTTCTTTCACACAGATACCGTACATGGGAACTGTGAGGGTTGGAAGTGGCGAATGGAATTTTGTGTGTTGACTGCCATCATCACGATTGGCGACATTCGCAACAGCATCCCAAAAGAGGATGAGGCGAAAATGATGAAGAACACTACTGGCGGGGAGCGCACTTTGTGCTTTTGGACAGTATATATATATATATATACATGCAATTGAAATGAAATTGATATTTCAGCTGGTGCAATTGTCACACATGTCTGGCCTAGCAGGAAGTTCTTGCGGTTGTTGGGTGCGATGTGCTGATGTGATTCGTCGCTTAGGGATGTCGCGACAACCGCTGCGATGTAAGACTGTCCACGGTCACATTTTGACTGGGCTCATCGACTTGGGCCACAGTTGCCTCTCTGGCTTTTTTTGGGACTTTGATGCCCAGGATCGGGGAACCTCTGGACTGATCTTGTGTGCCAAGACCTACTTGGGTGCCAGCCTTAACTTACGCGCCGCCAGCTTTCGTCTGGCTGGTGCGAAGCCTTCGCCATAGCGGGCCCAGCCACCTGAATCATCATCCCCAGCCACCTGAGTCACATCGAGTGGTGTCGCTTCACGTCCAAGAAGTCGCAATTTGCCCAAGAAGTTGATGAGGTTTCTACTTGTCTCAGCTGGAATTTGAGGCAGGAATGTCCTGTCCGGAGAGCAGCCTGACTTCCACCCCTGTCCGCACGTGGCAGATCGTGGCAGGCTAGGCGGCTCCGGAAGACTTATCTCTGCATTTGTGAAGGGCACGCCCCAACGTCCTCAACCCAGGGAACCTGCGGACAGGACTGAATCTTATGGATCGAGAAAGAGAGAAAGAGAGAAAGAGAGAGGGGAGAGGCGAAAGATGCTGATCCTGAGTCCTTCTTACACTTGTTTGGACCAAAAGGAAACTAAACATGATGCAACAACAAATTAAATCAGCAGGTCTTTCTGCACAATCGATTCCGCTTCAATGACTCGACTTCTTGATGAACATGTTCGCCTCGTGAAGGCAAGGCCACCATTTCGGCTAAGGCCGCCATTTCTGTTGGAAGCGCCACTGGCCACGCGTGGTGCGCCGAATCCCAGAAGTCTGCCTCGTCGAGCTTGTTGGTTTTCTTCGATGCATACAGGGCAGTTTTACATACGTGGTTTTAAGGTGTATGCATACAGACAGACTCACTGCGTTTGAGCTAAAGAGAAACCATGAAACTGCGGCGGTCGAAGGGGTCGATGTCAGACTGTTATGTTTCGTAGTCTTGAATCAAAGACTCTTAAAGGAAAGGGAACCTAATAGTGATGGCCTCCACCCTAGGAGCGATGGCCTCCACCCTAGTAGCGATGGCCTCCAATCTAATAGCGATGGCCTCCAAGAGTAGCTAGGAACTTGTGATCTTCAGCTGGGAGGTCGAAGGGGAAGGTCAAAGGGGATATGCTTGGCATTTGGGAGGTGCAGAGGTGTTTGGGAGCCTATGGCTAATCTCATGAAGCGGGCGGTAGAGAGAGGGAGAGAGAGGTACTTGGGAATTCTGTTGCTTTTTCAGATTTGGAGATGCAAAATTCTTGCTGAGTGCCTTCAGGAGGCAGGGCCTTTGTGTCCACCAGAGGCAAGCATGCACAGACAGAGGCAGCTGCTCAACTTCTTTGAACGATTTGAGCTCTGAAATTGGCAATTAGGAACAAGAAGCTATTAGGAACAAGTGCATCGCTACTAGTAACAAGTGCCTTACTAGTAGTAACAAGAAGCTATTAGAAACAAGAAGCTGCTAGGAACAAGTGCATCGCTTCTAGTAACAAGTGCCTTACTAGAGAAAGAGCCGGACATTGATGTTGTGCAAGATTCTGCCAGCACTTGCTACTGGTGAATGCCAATTTTCTGGCGGGAAGGTTCATCGTCACATTCCACAGACGTGCTTGACACCAGACGCAGACGCCTGTAGAGGTGTTGAGCCGCTGCCAGGTAGTTGAAGTGTCACACCTTCTGGATGAAGTTGGACAGCCTTGCAGTCTGCTGGAGGTGCGTCTCCATACCGGAAGGCCAGCGACCCGCACGGGAAGCAGGCAAGGGGTGGCTGTGCGACCCTAAATCGGGCCAACCGGTGTGGAACATCAGTTCTGCTCAGTAGACGCTTTTTGCAGATGCAAAGGTCGGGGTTTGCTTCAGATATTGATGTATGGTCTTGACACGAGACCATGCTTGAGGCTGCACCAAATCCGAGCCCATTTGAGCTCCATTGGGCATGCCATCCGTGGTGACGCAAGCTACGGCCTGGATCTTGAAAAACAGCAACTCCGAATCCGAGAAAGCGCAAGACGAGCATCAATGAGCATCAATGAGCCCCAGGCTGACACAAGGTGGCCATGCTCTACCCCAACGATCCCCGTTGCGGACTTAGGTGGAACGAAAGGCCCCAGAGTGCTACTCCATGCGAGCAGGCGGAAATTCGGGGCCCGGAGGCGAGGGGCATGTTGCACGCCCCGAACATGAAAAAGAATCGATGACCAGTGGTTAGTTCCTTGGGTAGTGAACAGGGGTCCCTACATGCGACGGAGAACCTTCATGCTGGAGGAAGACCAGTGCTTTGCATGCTCGCCAGTGTAGCTTGAAACTTCACTGGGAAGTATGAACAAACGTAGATGATTGCGATGCTCTCAAGGCCCCTGCATCTTAAAATCACCCCAGAATCGATGTTCGATGGGCCATCTCGGGATACACGACGACAGCAATCGCAGGGACGATGGGCGCCCATCGCAGCAATTTAGGCCCAAAGAGTGCCGAGCGAATTTGGAGGGTTGAGGTGCAAGAGCACCAGAACGGACCGACACCGACAGCTCTTTTATTTGTTTTTTTCAGCATGAGCTCGGGCCTCAAGGGAGCGGGTCTATGCGAGCTTGCTGTGTCAGGCTGTATCAAATATAGCATCATGCCATAGAGCGTCATGTTAGAGCGTCCTTTTTGGATCAACAGTCCGAAATTGGTCCACCTTCTGAGATCTTGACAGGTCTGCAAGAACTTTTAAGAGAGCAGCAATCCATTGTGGTCGAGCAGTTGCTTGGCAGTATGGAGGCCTGAGCCATTGGCCTATAAGGAACATGATTCATCGCCCAGTGCTGCCATTCCAGAAGCACAGACTCTTACTTATACTTCAGTCATGTCAGCAGGTTTATCCAATTGTCTCACCCATCAGCCCGAGGCAGAGCACGCGTGAGGAGTTGCAGCGAATGCAACTGGTCAAGCCTGGTGGACGGAAGGTGATCGGAGCCTCTTTCGCCCAGCGGTCACGCACTGCCAGGGCCGTCCCAGCGACCCTGGCTGGCGGAAAAGCCTATGAGCTCTATGGACTCTGACCACGGACACAAACGATTCTGCACTCTTCTGCACGTGTTGGTCTCTCCCGGTCCCATGAAGCTGTTTGTGCACCGCTATGCCATCCGCTATGCCCTCCGCTTCCCCAGGCAACGGAAGCTGAACGACTTCGTGAAGTCGGAGCTGCAGCGCCTCAGCTCGCGCCTGGACGCGACCGATGCGCGGATCCAGCGACTCATCAGTGGTGAGGCACCAGCGAATCCTAAGCAGTTCATGGATGCTTGGCAACGGAGACGGTAGGGGCGCCTGGTGGGCGCCTAGGTATGCCTATATTGGGTGCCCGGGCGGGCGTAAGGGTAGACCGATCTGGCACAAAGGGGACCAAATTATGGAGCTTGCAACATGGCATGTGGAGCGATGGGATGATCATAGAAGATCATAGAAGAGTGTAATTAGAAAGTAATGAAGTCAGTCTTACCAAACATCAGGTAGAGATGCACTCGCGGATTTCTTGGCCCACCCTGCGTTGAGCTGGATCGGTTGAAGAGGAGCAAACCATATCACACAAGAGAGCGGACACATTGGTGGTCCTGGTGTGGGCATGTTTCATGCCTCTTGAGGAATCTGCCCGTGGCTTATTCAAATCAGAGGACATGGGCGCAGGGCACACAACGGGCTGGTGACCAATTTTGCAAACTCCAAAGTTCTCGGCCTTTTCAATGACCAAAATCAGACCAGCTGGTTTTCGGTTGCTATTTGATGCTCAAGTTGAAGGTTTTCGGTTTCCTATGATGCTTTTCATACATTTTTCCATCTGTTTTCGATCCCAACACAGGACCCGAAAGCGCTCTTGCCTTCGATTCGCAGGACCTTCACTCTCAGACCTCGGAGCCACCGAAGGACAGCGGCACCGGACCGCGCCCCGCCGTGCGCTTCGCGCCCGGCGCGGCCGGCCGCCGCCCGGCGCAGCCGGAGCCCCGTCTGCCGATGAGCCGTCGGGGCTCGGCGCCGGCGTTGCAGACGGGAAATGCCTGGAAGACGCTGGGCGATCGAAGAGAGTGATGGCTTGGTCTTTGAGAGTGATGGCTTGGTTTGGCGATTGGCTAGTGTCACACTGATGGAAGTGAGGATGGGGCCAGATCACCTGGAGGCGTGGCAGTGGGGTCACAAGTAATGACAGAAGTATAAATACAGAAGTGGACACTTTTGAAACAAGAAAGTATGCCGCAGACAAGGCTGCTAGTGACACTAGACAAAAGCAACTCCTAGGGCTACGTAGATTTCTTTGACACTGGTTTGCTACATGTGCTCCATGCAACGCATACATGTGTCTCCCTTCTGTGGAGCCCTTGCAGAATCTTCGTGCAAAGAGGCTACACATCAAATTCGAAAAGAAGATCTTGGCAGATGTTAGATAGTTAATTATTAATCTTTTACTATAGTCAAATATACATTACTTTTTAAAACACGTGTTCTAACAGTGTTTTGGATGTTGTTTTCTTTGCTGTTCCAAAACCGCCGAGGTCAAGGCCCAGGAGTTGCACAAGGCCTGTCAAAAGGCTCCGCCGCAGGACGTGTGGACGGAGCCGTCGGAGGGCATCACCTCCACCGTGTTGGATCACGCGGAGGAAGCGCTGCGCCGATGCTTCGGGAAGACCAAGGAAGGCCGGATGGGGTGGATGAACCTTCGTCCTCGGACGTGGGGTGGAAGAAGGAAACGGTTCTGCTCAGTGACTGGGTCGGTGAGGGTTGGTGAAGAGGGCGGAAGAGGGCGTGGGAAGGGGGCTTGGGATGTGTAGATGTGATCATGCGATAGGATATGAGAGGACTACCCAGAATGTCCAAGAAATGTGTTTTGCTTCTTTGATGACGTCTGCTAGGGTACTAGACAAGGGCATTCTTGTTTAGGAACAATGGCATACCGTGTATAGAAGCATTTGTAGGGAAAGAGTGGCTAGATAGTATTGTGTCTCGAGATGCTGCTTATGGCTTGTGGCCACCGAATCATCACACTTGTGTCAGGCCAGCGCTACGCCAACAACCCCTTGTTGGGCCTCAATGCCATTTTCAAACGTCTGGATCAGAATCATAGCGGCAAAGTGGATCGCACGGAGTTCCTTCAGTTGTGTTCTATTCTGGACTTCAACGGAAGCACGGATTTGATGAACGCGCTCTTCAGCCGATACGATTTGGATAGGCGCACCCGTCTATCCACGGGCGTGCCGTGAACATCGCGTAGTAAACAATTGTCAAGATGAGACAAGCGCCTTTGACTTCATGATCAGATCATCAGATCTGTCTTTTATTAGGGGGAGGCCATCGCTATCAGGTTGGAGGCCATCGCTAGTAGGTTGGAGGCCTGGAGGCCATGTTGTTTTCTGCTTCATGATGACGTGGTGGGTTACACCACCTCACAAAAGCGTTTTCTGCCTTTGACGGTTCTTTGTGATCTTTGTGTTCTTGCCTTCGGCCAAGGGTCTGGAATATCACCGTAATTAGGCGCGGCCGCGTGGTTCCCTGCAGGTCAAAGTACCTATCCATAGATGAGTTCGGCCGCATGCTCTTCAAGTTGGATGGAGATCCTCATGGAAACCTGGCTGACAACTTGATTGAAGTGGCTGCAACTATGGAGTTTTCCACAACATCACGATTCACGGGCTGTTTTGCACAGCTCCTACCTTCTTTTTTGGCCTTCACCACAAATCCTGCAGGAAAAGCCCTGAGCACGATTGCCAAGATGAGAGAAGCCTTAGCTTTGAGAGCTGGTGGCTTTGAGACCTTGAAGGCCATGGCGAATCAGTTTCGCATCATGGATCACGAGCATCGACTGCAGGGAGACTCCATAGGAGTGATGGTGGAAAAGACATGGGAAAAGACGTGGAGTGAAAACCATCCGTTTTGGTATATAGTCGGTTTATTTCTTTGCCTCATCCAAGAGGCCATGCGATCCACGTAGCTATGATTTCTTTCAGTCGACTTGTGCAAGTGTTGAATGTGGGATGGTGTAGTGGATGGTGCTTTTCCTCTGGGCCCTGATCATCCCACACAGTCACGCGCCCGTCTCCAGCTTGCCGGTTTGTGGCCAAACAAGCCAAGGATAAATCGGGCGAACTCACAAAGGAGGAGTTCATGACGGCTCTCGATGTGTTCCTTGGCCCGTTGTGAGTTTACTCAGCGGGTGAGAGTTTTCTGGTGAGTGGCTTGCGCTCCAACAAGACCAACATGCATGATAGATGTATACATTCATAAAGAGAGTACGACGCCCTGGAGGTGTGTGTTTTTTCAGTGTTTTTTTGCGTTTTTCTATGATTTTCAATAGATTTTCTATGTTTTCGTTGCATTCACCCATCTGGTACACATCACTTGTGCCCATAGCCTGCTGCCCCTTTGCCATGATCTTATCAACAGATTTCCTCATCAAGCTTTTAAACACATAGCTAAAGTCTGTATCTGTCAATTGCATCATAGCTGTCATCTTTGGAGGAATGATAGACTGTAGCTGATGGGCTGCATACATCTTCTTGTATATATCATCGCTAAACGAAGCAGCAAAGCAATCCCTCTGATAGATGGATACTGGATACATCCTCCCTTGCTTTTCAATGACCCATGACATAATGATATTGTCCTGATTGGAGGATGGTTGGGAATAAACATCATAGTGCTCCAACAAATGAGGATGACCCCTTCTGATCTTGACCCATTGCTCCAATGCCCTCCTGGCACTCTCCCCCTTCCTATGCAGCTTGATGTCTCCCAAATAGTTAAATGATTCATCCTCAATCCACCTGCCTTTGTCACCAATGTTGTCCAATCTTGCATGTTGCCCAGATACTATGAGCGCCCCCTTGCCCACATGTCCAATGGGGTCCTCATCAGGGTTGAAGAAATTGCTCACCAGCTGATGGGCCTCAAAGGTAATCCTCATCTTCTCAGTTGCTGAGTCCGTCATGATAATCAAATGAGCTCTTCCCCCACCCTTTTGATCCTCAGTGGTCACCAATTGCCAATCTTGCTTCGTCTGATCATCCAATGCCTCAAGGTCCTCATTGGGTTCCTGTCTCATGGGCTTGTTGGTTCAGCTCATCTTGAAGGTCCCTCCTAATCTTTTTGATGGTCTTCCCATGTGTCCTGGTCTCATGGCCTGCAAATACAGCCTTAGTTGATCCCTTTTTCACCCATACAGGAACCTGATCTGAGAATCCAAGCATACATTCAGGCTTTGCCACAAATTCCTTCAGATTTTCATGCCCCATGGACACAAGGCTCATGATATAGTCATGGTGGTTCCATGCCAATTCTGCTGGAATCTGCTGCTCCTCATTGCTCAAGGGCGCCAACGCATTTGGAGTCATATGTTTGGCACCAGTAGCATCCATAAGCATCTTGGCCCTCTTGTCCCTTTGCTTATACCCCTCTTTGATGCTCTTCATTTGGGATTCAGCACTTTCCAAGTGATTGATACAAAGAATCTTCTGGGGCCCATCTTCCAGCTCATCCCTTTTCTCCTCAAGCTTGACTTTCTCCACTGATAGCAGCTGAAAATATTTCCATGCAAGATCCATCTTCTGCACCCCATGCCCATAACTCCTTTCCCTTTCCAACCATGTCTTAACCTCACCAACCAAGTGGGGGAATTGTTGCTTGGCACCCCCACCTGATGCCCTGACTCTCATGTGGTTCCCACCTGATGCTTTTTTCCCTTTGCTCAATCCACTCCTTTGCGTTCTCTTATCTGCTGTTGTGCTTTGCTGATGCTTCAGAATCTTTGTCTCCCATTTGGACCTTTCAGCATAAATCCCCTTCAACGCATGAGGTCTCATCAGGAATGTCCTATTCCATTTCCTTGCGCATTTTCCTTTCTGATTCTTCAGTACGCTCTCCGTTGGGGGGGGGTCGGCAAAAAAATAAAAATAAAAAAATTGGTGCTGCCTCAAATCAGGGCCAATTTTCTTTTTTTGTCAACCCCCCCCCCTCTGGAAAACTCTGTGCGGTCCATGTCGGCGACGCTGGCGACACTGCGATGTCTATGCGATGTCTGCTACTGTGATGTGGCGCGTGATGTGACAGTATCCTCCTACATTTTATCCTTAAATAAGAATACCTCCAGCGCATAGATAGTAAATTCGTAAGAAGGCTAGAACACTGGGAAAACACACACCTCCACAACGTCGTGTTCTGTTCATAAAGTATTCATATCATAGCTGCTGCATGAGCTCCTAGGCCACCCTAGGCTCGTTCCACCCTAGGCCCACTAGCCACCTATGATCATATACATTCGACTCTTTCCATCCGCATCCGTGTATGACTAAACGCTCCGGTCCAACGCTCGTCCATTGCGCTCGCGCGAAGCGACGGTTCGATCATCGGCGCTCGCGCTCACATCAGCGCAGCGAGGTTCTTCAATTGCTTCAACCTGCGTTTCAACGCCGCCGAAAAGCTCAGCCTCTTCAGTACCTTCGACCGTGATGGCTCTGGTACTGTGAGCTACGACGAGTTCATCCGTGGTGTTCGTGGCGAGATGAATGACTTCCGTTTGGAGTGGGTGAACAAGGCGGTGAAGTCGTGTAGCGTTTGCTGTGAAACCTTGACAAGCGCACATGGCATAGACGCTGAATGACGCTCTTTTTTTTGAGCAGTGATGCTTCTAGAGTGCTGATTGTTCCACCTTGGTGCTGAAGAAAACCAAGCGTTCCCTCAGCAGCTCTTGGCTCTATTGTTTAGAATGGTCGGAATGACCGATTGCACTTGTGAGGCCTTTAGTGTCCTGGATAAGGATGGCTCTGGGGTGGTGACCACGGCGGAAATGTCGCAAACCTACGATGTCTCGGCCAATCCGGCCGTTCAAAGTGGCAAAGCATCCTGGCTGCAACTTCCTGATAAGGGATTACAAAACGGTTGCACCTTTGAGGGAAGCAGCGAAACAAGTATTGTCCATTCCTGTTGGTTCTTATTGCCCATGCGAAGGGTGTGGCTTTTGACGCATGACACGCAATCACTCCGACATGCTGATTGTGCCTCATACATCCGCACCAGCTGCCTGACAAGCTGTTGGATACATTTGAGAGCATGCAAATCCGGGCTACTGGTAGTCAAAGCAAATCGTATCCAACAGCTGACGGTGAAAAGCCATTCTTACTAGCAGCCATTGTTACTTTTCCGGGCTAGTCCTCACCAGCTAGTCAAATGCTTTGCAACTTGTTCAGATTGTGTGAATCCCAGGTGACGCCGCAGCAAGCCATTGCGCAATTCATGAAACATTTCGATCAAAACTCCGATGGTCAAATCACCCGCGAGGCAGGGATCAAAACTCCTTATGGTTTGGATTCGGTTTGGCTGCCTGCGACCTTTGTTCCATCCATCATGTTCCATACAGTTCATGTTTGTGCGAAACCCCGTGCGAAACCCCGAACCAGTTACTGTCAGCGTTTTGGATGATTCTTGAACCTGATGTGGTTTTTTTTTGGAGCTTCACCCAGCCACAAGCGGTCACAAGCTGTCATGATGGTGCTCGCGAGCGGATCGTCCAAAATTTTGTGAAACATGGGAAGTTGAAGTAGCTTGAAGCTGGTGTAGACGTGCCAATTGCAGGAGTTCACTGAGAACTATGAATGGGTCAGCGCTTCCATTGATAGAAGCTCGGACTGCACTGCGATGCTTGAATTTGCCTGAAGCAGGTGGTGAACTCCACTTCCACGTAAGTGCTCCTTGGAGAGTGCACAATTGTTTTTTGGGTTGGAGCGCCTTGATTGTCCCTTTGTGCTCAATGCATAAGGCAGATGTACCTTAGGTGATGACTACTTCGAATTGATGATGCGAAATGCTTGGCACATAGCAGGTGGCCACATCCTCAGTAAGAACCCAATGCGCGGATGTGATACAGAATGGGCTGCATGCACAGCCACCAGGCATGCTTTGCAGCCAAGGGGGGTTCTGACCAGAAACAATCCGAAACCAGCATTTCTCAGGTAGGACACTCATCCACACATACAGTAGCAAATGATGCTCAGACATTCTTTTGCAAAGTACCTTCAAGGAATCATAGAAAAATGCATTAGTAGCTAGAAGCTACTAGTAACAAGTGCATCGCTACTAGTAGAAGCTACTAGTAGCAATGCCCTTGTTACTAGTAGCGATGCGCTGCAACTAGCAACACATGTCTTTAGGACTTTAGGAACACTTGAGGTGAAGGCTGGTCCGCGAACACCTCGAACCTGCGCGTGCTGGTGAAGCACACACGTTCACCCGATGAGGCGCATACGAACCACCATACGTCTTCCATACGTTCTTAACCGATTATATAACATGTGCATCACAGTGTGCTGTAGACTCTTGATTAACAGTAATCAAGATTCCACCTTAAGCTTGAAAAAGACCTTGGCGCTAGACGCTAGATTCCTTAGACCAATGTCTTTCACAATTTGTTCACTTCTGAACAGCTGCAGGGCTGCTTCTGAACAGCCTGGATGCGCCAATTCACCCATGACGTGGGCCAGGTGGTTTGCGTGCTCAATGACTTGGGCCTTCCACGAGATCCAGCCCTGCGCACGATGGAAGTGGTGAAGCGCTTGAAGAGCCAAGGGGTTGCCTGGCCGGTGTCGAACACATCGAACGTCGCCATGGGCTTTTCACGCCCACAAAAATGGGTGGTGGTGTGGTCAACAGCGAATGTGTTTGTGTTTGTGTTACTTCGTTTTTCGTTTGGGGGGTGGTTGAGCCTCATGAACATAGCTGTGGCATTGTGGGGTAAGTTTTCCCAGTTGTTTCCTGCTTCTTGAAATGGACTTCTCTACCGAGGTGATGGATATCGCCAAGATCGAGCCACTTAGATTGAGAAGAGAGTCGGGAAAGAGAGAGCCCAGCCACACTTGGTTTTTCAATGCGATCCGCCCAGGTTTTGCGGCTGATCCATCGTCGCGCTCGTGCGCGAACCGTTCGCGGCGCTCGGTGCACCGATGAGAACAGATGTCATCGGGCACCGCGTCGGGCGCTCTCAGCCATGCGGTCTGACCGAACCCGGTCTGGCCGTTTTGGGGTCAACTGCTACAGTGACTTTTGACCAAACACTGCATCGCAGCCAAACACGGACAGGAATCCAAGGCGTGAAGATCGACATAAGGATCCAACAAGCTTCAAAGGCTCCTTTTGGTGTTTGTTGGCTTTATGTTGGTGCAAAGTCCGGGTGTTTTGGCGGCGGAGCAGCTGTGAAAAAGAGACTCCAGTCTGAGTGAAGAAGCTGTAAAATTCGGGTGTTGAGCCATGATTCATCATAGTTCTTCATTGACCCAGTTATTGTTTGGGTGAAACTTGATGAAACTGGTGTTGGTCGCCTTCGAGGGCTCCACAATTCGGATTTCTTGGCTGGTGAATCTCTCCACGAGATGTGGTCCACTAACAAAGCGTTGGAAGCTTGGTCATGTCATTTCTTCAAGAAATGTGGACTTTGTTGACGGCAAACTTTGGATGGCTATTGCTCAAGCCTTGTCATCATTCTTACCCCCCAGATGTGATGCCTCGAAGACAAAAGAAAATCGTTTGGACATTCAAAAGGGCTTTAGCGGCAAGGAGACAGGAATAAGGCACTGACTCGTTTGGTTCTTGGGGAGCTTGGTCGGCCTGGAGAACGGATCCCACCCTGCCCACCAGATAGTCAGATAGTCCCATAGTCCCAGAGGTCATTCTGAGCCGAAGATTTTCATCATAGAGACCTGAAGTTGGCAGATTCGACTGAGCCGAGTCGGCAAAGCCTCCCGAGTACAGTAGACTCTTGATGAATATACCGTAAGACATACACTTAGAACATCGTTTGGATCTTTTTTCACAGGTGAAATGCTCTAAGTGTATAGGTCGCGATGTTCTAAGTGTATGTCTGCAAGTATAGAACCCTCCGTTTGAATTGGACCTCTTCAAAGCTCGGGGGGGGGCGAAATATCAAGAGTCCACATCGACCTGCAGAAGCGACTGCACGTCGACCTCACAGGCTGCAAATCGACCTGCGCGGTCTGGGCTCGCCTGGAACTTGGGCGATCAAGCGTCTCTCCCCACGCATCCCGCGCGAGTCCCGTGCAGGCTGTACCACTCGTCTCACCTGAAGGAGGTTCCAAGACAGATGATCGTTCGAGACATGGGACTCATGGGACCTAGATCTTGGTATCTAGACTGGCTCTCACTCTCCTGTCGAGTGATACGCCCATGGGCTAGACCGGTGGAACGATCCAACGGCTGAGGTCCATTGACGTCACGGCGGCCTTGCCGGAGGACACACCGAAAAAGATCGTGACCGTGCGTCCTCATGGTTCCAGCCAAAGGGGGAGTCAATGGTGTTCAAAGTCAGACTTGCTTCTTTAGGCCTTCCTTTTCGGTGGTTTGGTCCTCTCTTCTTCTTTGGACCTTTATACTTCAAGGTCCGAGGCAGGAAAACCTCGGACTCGGCATTCGTACATCTCTGAAGGACTTCTCGGCAGTTGGGCGCCTTAGAGGACTCGTGCTGGCTCGATTGGGCACCTCGGTGAAGAATCCTCTAAGGCCTTGGAGGCTATGGTGCCATGCAGTCAGAAGTTCGCAACCTAGCTTGGGTTTGGAGCTGCGAGATCCGAAACTGGATCTGCAGTCGAAAGTTAGCTGCAGTTGTCAACACAGATCAAACTGACTTTTTGATGCTACTTGCATCTACCTGCCCAGTCTGTATCACATGGTTCGCCTTTGCTTGGCCCAGGTGTGCGAGCATAGTCAAGCAGCAGAGCAGAGCAGACAGCAGAGCCATGCAGAGCGGAGTGAAAGATGGCAGCTTTACTTGCGTTACTTCGGTTACTCGTTGCTTTACTTTCAAACTTTCAGGTTGCGGTTTGTGTCGTGCACTTGCTCTGACAGCCTTTTGTTCGTAGTGTGTACTCACTGCAGGGTGCCGGTCATCTGATAGACCTTGGCTCAGACCAACCAACAGCATCGAGACTCATGCGTCCTTTCCTGCCGACTTATCGGTTAACCCTTAATTGTGGCTCGCCAAGTATAACACCACAGAACTGCTACAAAAGGATTCTGATGGCACTTTCATGTCGGTTCATTTTTGGCAGGTGATTAGTTAGTCAGGTTGGGCACATTTGGGGACCCACGTTGGCACCCCAAACTCCTACAACATCATGCAAAACGGATCACTAAACATCAGATCACCTGGCTTTAGATGATGCCGGTCATGACATTCTTGAGGGGAGCTTTCCAAGGGGCCATGATATGGCGGTCAAAACCCAAAGGCCTCATCCCTGGTAGGTTGACCTGCTTTCTAACTCGTTTCTGTTCATTTGTGGTCCACCTTTCTATACTCTCCTGGTTTTGACTCAGGGTCATAGAACCTGATATAACACTCAACCTTTCTATACTCTCCTGTTGTTATATCCGGTCATAGAACCGGATTTAACACTCACGTGCAGTGTCATTTCATGCATATCCATCGGTGCCATCGCCCCATGCCGCTGGGCGACCTGGTCGTCGGTCGCACAGCGCCCGGTGGCCCGGTGGACGAAACCAACGGGCCGAAGCGGAGCGCCGAAGCGGTGCGCCGGCGCAGGTCGATTGCTGCGGAAGGGCTTCTGGTGAAACTACCGGGGTGGCCTGGCTCAGTTGAGAGGTAGAGTTTGTGATGTGCATGTGTTTTTTATCATTCTTTTTTTGGGATTCTCAATGAGAAACATTCCCCCATCCCCATCCAAACATCTTGCTTGGATTGATTCGGCAAATGCCGCTCAATACCAGTCGCCCCACATGCTGCTTAGATTTGTTTAGCAATTGTCTTCTCACCTTCATCCCAGAATTGATCTCATGAGGCAAGACGCCCCAGCACTGCTACCCCGTCAGGCTGTGTTTTTGCGGTTGGTGATGATTTGTGAGATAAAATGCGTTGCGCCAACCACGCGGTTCAACACTACTGTGCATGTCTTACTAAGCTCAAAGAAGCATCTTGAACGTAAACATAATGTCTATGGATATAAATAGCACTTGACTGATACCATTTGTGGCGTATTCAACAGGTGGCGTACAGTGGCATCGCGGTGGGTGATGAAATTTGCGATTTGTTGGACGCAAGCTCAGAAGGATTGTTTCCCCACTTCTTGCTGCCCACCCCGCGATGAAATGAATTTCTATGAATTTGTATGGAAGTTCTTCCCATTTCTGAGATTATCTCTAGAACATGTCAATCATCGGTAAAGCACATGCCAAGGTGGTGTGGTTGTATCCTGACGGCTCCGCAAGCGTGGTGGTGCCAGAAGCTACCGCTCAGGAGACCAAGTCGTCTCCACAAGAACGGACGCAACAACGATGGTTGAAACGGCCTGAGACGAAAGAAGTCGTTTTGCAGCGTTGGCAGGAGCTGGTTGCTACAGGCCTTGGAACTGAGAAGCTGTTAGCTGTTGCAAGATGCTGCAACATGCTGCAAAGCTGTTGCAACTGGTGGGAAGAGATGAACCAGCCGGTGTCGTCAGGCCAGTTTCCAAGTCTTGAGAAGCAAGATGATACGAGCATGGCGCCGGTGAGAAGCAAAGGCCGGGGGACACACCGCTCGGTCCTGCGGACACAGAGTGAGTGGACGCAACGAGGTCGACCGAGGTCCTGCGGACGCAAGAGGACGCAAGGAGATTCAGACTTTGGGGCCTTTTTGGATTAGAAGAAAAGGTCTTTGACTATTGACATCTATTGACTATAAGTACTGTTTTTGGCCTTTTTGGATTCCTGACATGAAGGTGTTGGACAATTAGGCCGCGGCCTATATAAGTACTGTTTCGTTTACTGAGCCATGAGCCAGATAGGCCGCTGGGGTGCAGCCAAAGAGCCCAAAGAGCCCAGCCCGGAGCTTGAGAACTCCAAGGACTCAGAAGCATCCAGGTGGGGTGGATACACACCGGCGAAGCGGAAACCGACCATTGGCGCAGGGGCAAGGAACCTTGGGCCACCAGTTGGCCACCTTTCTCATACCCAATGCTGCACCATGTCTCCCATGTCTCGTGCCTTTTTGGGTGCCTGGCTTTGTGTGGGGCTTCTTGTGCACACAAGCAGCAGCTGAAGTTGTCCGCTTTGACATCGGCAGGCTGATGCCGTTCCTTGTGGCCGGACATGCCACAGATGCGCCCACTTATGCAAGTGTCGCCCTGGTCAAGCCAGAAACCACCTTGAGTTACGTGAGCCAGTCCAGTGCCACTAAGAGCTCATCAGCCAACAAAGATCCTGCCAAAGAGCAGGCCAGGCACCACTTTTTGTCTCAGCAAGTCAGTTCTAGCCACATGTGGTTGCCTTACTTGATGTTTTGGTTCTTCTTCTTCAACCCAAATGTCACTTCTACGGCTTGTGAATGTGAGTCGCTTTAGCCCTCCCAGCGGCGCCCGAGATCCAAACTCTGGATGCAGGAGTCAGAAGACACGATCTACTCCAGGAAGCAACTTCTAACTCTCCGGCAGTCTATGCTCATGATGCAGGTGGCGCCTGGCCGGCAATCCGGGCCCGAAAGCTGTCGATCTGATCACTTGCAAAAACCGGATGATAGCAGCTACATGGCCGGCATAGTGGCTAGCATGTCTATAGTGACTACTGTAGGGTCATGGATGCCAAAGCACTGCATATGCGTTTGCTATTTTCCTCCGGCGTCGACGCACGACGCACGACGGCGCAGGATGCAGGCGAGTCAGCATCCTCACCATTGCCGACCTCGATGCCGTGCAAGGAGGAGGAACGAGTGAACTGCCGTGCAGCGGTAAGGCAGATGCAGCGGCAGATGCAGTGGGTGTTCCAGGCTGGTTCGGTTTTTCTGACAGCCAGCCTGCTAGGAGCTGGACAGCAGCATGCTGCAAATGGTCATTTGCACGCGGCAGCTTCCAGTGTGGTGGGGCAGATGTGGCAAAGAGGCCTGAGCTGGGCGATCAAAGCCATTCGAGAGAAAGTGATCGCCATGCTGAAGTATATAGCATTGTTTGCCACACCATGGCTAGCATGTGAATCCATATGAAATGGATGCCAGTTGTTCCAACTCTTTTCCACTAAAGGATTAAAGGCTTTAGCTCTTGGAGGTTTCACTATCCCTTTAGACCTACCTTCACTCACTGACTCAGACTCTAAACCACTTCCAAGCGAAAAAAAAGGCTTCGCAAAACGCCGCCGCCCACGACGAACAATGCTTCAAAGCACCCACCGCATGGGTCGTGCGCGAGGCCAAGCGGCAAGCCTTTCGGTTGGCGTGCCGCACGGGGCGTTTGCGGATTGTGAAAGCCATCTACGCCGTTCGGGGCCTTAGATTTGGCGGTCTGGGCGCAAAGAAGGATTAGGACATATTAGGACAGATTGATGCAAAATGTCTCAAGAGTATGGCAATGATGGGCACATCAATCTTAAGAAGTCTCCCTAGGGGGGCGATGTGGGCATTGACACAGACTTCTTGGCCGAGACGGTCAAGGCCGACATGTATGAGCTTTCGCCGGTGTGCTTGTTGGGGTTCTTTGTGCTATTTGTTTCAGGAGATGTGCAATGATGCACAGTCATCCGCTGGCTTCAAGCCTGGCAAGAAGCACAAGCGTTCAGAGGATGCTCGAGGAGATGCTGTGCATCCGTTGAAGCATTTGCTGACATGGATGGAGATTTAGGATAATGATGCATATTGCAGGTGATATAGAATGCGCATAAAGGGAAGGAAGACAGGTCGGTCTAGAGTTTCAAATTTGTCAGATCCACTCACAGCTGATATTGAGCGGCCGCACTGCCCTTTGCCGTGACACCCTGAAAGAGAGCGAGCTCCGGCTTACTCCTCACGGGTCGGGTGGCCACGCGTTGGCCATCGGAGGATCCCTTTTGGCGTGCCACAATGGGTTCCTGAAATGCTTCTGGCATCTGAATGCGCAAGACTCGAGGGACATAGTATCATAGGGGGTCAATGCAGCCGTGTTTTCGGGCAAGAAAGACTGCCATGCGCATCATGATGACACAATTCCAGCATGCATGCAGCCAGCAACATGTCCTGAGATTCTACATCCGGCCTAGAAATGCCACAGGCTCGTGGTGGAAGGCGCACTGGTTCGTAACACCAAGTGCCCAAACCCCGGCAGCGTAGAGACACAAACCCGGCAGGCAGCACATCCACCCCAGATGAAGAAGGAAGAACCACACGATAAGTGCCTTCCTTCTTGAGCTTGACATCCAACATGTGTGGTGAAACTATGTCAAGCTGACTGCCAAGACTGGCCGTTTTGATGTCAGGATTGCTCTTGTCAAGGGCAGAGGCGCAAGCCGTTGCGGCTTGGGGGCGAGCAGGGGCTGGCGCTGCCACCGCTGGAGTCGCCTCACCGGCAGCAGAAGCTATCGCCTGGCTTTTGGAGCATGGTGCGCCGGTGGGGTTGCTGCTACCAGAGGCCCCAGGAGCCAGACAAGCTTGTCCTGCTGCAACTTGCAACTAATTAGAGATGCCTGGAGTAGTGCCTGGAGTATGGACTCATGTCATGTTATGTCAACCAGGTGCAAGACCAGAAACGGATTTCAAGCGGCAGTTGTCACTCACTAAGCTACATGGCATGCTCCTCGAGCGGACATCGCTACCAGCACTGAGCAGCGGGTGCGATTGTCCAGCAGGACCAGAGGCGTTATCCGCTCGCCTACGTGGGCTGGGCATCATAGCCGAGTACCTGGGCATATCTGGGCCTCAATGATAGGTCGCAACGGAATTTTGTGATTGCAGTCAAGTGAGATTTGTCAATGTCCAAACACAGACTCAGTTGCTCGAACCATATTTCTTCGAGAAGACCGTGCATGTGGTCCTCTTCGAACACAAAACTGAACCGTCGTCTCAAGCAAAACCTTCGACTCGATGTACCATCGACTGCCGGCCGAATGTATTCTGGCATTCTGCAGGTATGGTCCCTCCATCTCGGAGGTGGAGCACATTGTTGAAGCTGTGGCTGGATGCCTCAAGGACCCAGAGGTGGGACATGGTGGGACGACCAGCAGCTGGGGACGGGAGAGACGCTCGACACGTCTAATAGTACGCGGATCGTCGGATCGGCAGACGGGGATCGGCAGACGCGGATGCTGGGATGGATGAGATGGATGAGTCGTTCTTGAGACATGAATCAGGCCTAAATCAGGTAGTTTCATTCATAAGTGATATTAAGTGATGTCACCCTGTGATGGACACACGTGTGATGGCGTCAACCGACTTTGGGGGACACCATGGGACACCCAACTCCACCAGGCCTCAGGGAGGTTGGCGGCAGCCCAGACCTTGGCGAGATTTGGAACCGCGGCCGGCCAAGCTCCCCGAGCCCTACCGCGCCTCCGGCGGCTCGTGCAATCGGCGCCTCGGGCGGTGGCGCCCCTCGGGCGGGTCCGGTCGTGGAGCCACACTCGTGGACAACGACGGTTCGGTCGCCTCAGGCGACGGTCAGCCATTTGGGCCGAAGCCGTTGAGCCCACCGGCCGAAGTCGTGAAAAGAAATCCGATTCGATGAGGGTGGAGGCCATCGCTCCTAGTCCTAGGGTGGAGGCCATCCCTATTAATTAGGGAGGAGGCTACATCGCCATTAGAGTGAAGGATGGTGAAGGCCGTCGCTGTTAGGGTTGGAGGCCATTGTTGTTGTGGGTGGCGAGGACAAAGATGCCAAAGTACGAGAAGCTGCTGCTCTGGCCTTGGGATGCCTGGGCCGCGATGGTTTGGATGTGATGGCCAAGTTGGAGACGGACGAGGCACGAATGCCCCGACTGGACGGTGTTGGTCAGGACGGTGTGCAGAACGTCCAGGAAAGGCACTCAATGTCGATGTGTCGGCAGTTGCCAGAGAAGTTTCACCGTTGGTTGATGTTTCATCCCCAGACACGACCCATGCGACTGCCATATATGCCGCCCCATTGACCCCCCTGGCACCACCCCAACTGATCGGCATATATGGCAGTCGCATGGAGTGTCTGGGATGCTTTTCTTGTTTTCGATCCCTTCGGTTTCGATCGGCTGCACCCGCGGCCTGCGCGGCCGGCGGCGTCGGAGGCTCAAGGTCTTTATGCACTCGCCATCGGCAGCAGCGGATTGGCGGGAGAAGCTCTGGTGGACAGGTGTGTTGATTCAGTTGATGTGGAAGACTGTGAAGGTGTTTGCTCATAGTGCTGACTGTCTCAGGGTGAGCTTTACCCAGTGGTAGTTCCTTGGCGCAACCTGCACCACACTTGGATGTTGGAGGCTGCTGGCCTTCCTCGCTGATCCTGCCACGGAGGCCACGGCATTGCGGATGCGTGCTGCCGAAGCGTGAGGAGCTCACGTGGATTTCGTCAGGACTCCGACAGAAAGAACATGAAAGAACCCCCGGGGCCAGCATTTTGGCCGACTGAGGCTGGGTGCTCGTGGCGAGCTGGCATCGGAGATGCAACTGGAAGCTTTGGCTCGGAGCTTGCAGCATGACACAAATGAGATGGTGCGTGAGGCGGGATGTGACTCTCATGAGTTGTCGGGTGAGGAGTGGGCGTCGAGATGAGCTTGCTGCGAGAACCCTTCTGTGCCTGACGGTCAGGCATGTGCGAATGCCATTGGCGTCATGGGCTGCAGCAACAAAGGCCTGTCAAGACCTGTCGATGGGTTCATAGATCATGGGTTCATTGTTGGATTATATGTGGATGGGTAATATGTATATGAACCATATAGATATCTACCACTCGCCTGTCAGTTTAGATGGTGGAATTTCTGTTGGATATGGTGAGTGATTGGCCGAGTGGCTGCAGCCACCATAGTGGCTCAGGCCTCACTACCTTGGCCAGAGCTTCCTTGGAGCTTGGCCTGGAGGAGCGGAGGGTACTGGGAACTCGTTCCATTTCAATGGGCGCTTGAATGCGCTTGAGGATACGCCAAGATATTTCAAGACTCTTGGCATTACACTTCAAGTATCCAACAGATCGATACGGAGCTTAGTGAGTTCGAGTGAAGGGTTGCATTAAAAAAGATTGACGTCCCGGTCGAAGGTGATTTTATTCTGTATTAGGCACGCCTTCATGACAGATTGGCATGCCCATTTGGCGCAGGATTCATCCGCATTTGTAAAGGAAGCAGCAGAAAAGGCCATGCAGAATCTTCCACAACTTGCCGCTGAAGATTTCGACATTCCACAAAGCGTGTGAAAAGACCAGCATTATCAGAAATACATTATATAAAATATGATATTGTTTTTACTATACTACTAATATTATTACATAAAACGGTAACGGCAACACCATTCTGGGTTTGGCAGTTGCGCGCGCCGAAGGTCACCGCAGCCTCAGTCGCGCCAAGAGCAAAAGATTTGTATGTCCGTGTTCTTGAAAAGCCGCTCAAATTGCCAAAAATTGTTTTCCGATTCTTTCCAAAATTGATGGTTTCTGATTGTCAATTTACCGGGAACCGTATAAGGGTTTTGACGTTTTGCGATGTGCAACTTCTCGGGAGATTACGACTCCCTGAAAGAATCATGATGATTGTACATGGACAAGAGGCCCCTCCTAAAAAGACCCATTTCCGCTACAACAAGGTCGATGTTTGGATGGAATTGTAATGTTTTTCCTATTTGCATGGACCGTTTTCCGCTGCCCTGGATCTGCGCGCGCGCCCTCCTCTACGGTAGAGGGGGCGCCAACGGACCCAGGGTGTTATTGCAAGGAGCCGCCGCCCCGACAGTTGATAAAATCGCTGTTCCTGACGCCCCTCGTTCTAAACTGCCGCTCGCAACAACTTCTTAGGTAATCTTTTGATTATTGAATTCAATTGAATATTTTTGGGTTCGATATCCTAATAATAGAAATTAATAATATTATAAATATAATATAAAATATACAAAACATATTAAAATTAAAGAAATTATTAAATATATATATATATATCGTCTTATTGAAATAATGTATTCATTATATCTATTGAATTGGTCGTATTTTATATTTAAATTTCGATAATTATATAAAAAAAGAATTTAATATATATAATATATATGTTTTTGATATTAAATTAACATTATATATATAAATAGATATATTTAAATTCATATAATATTTTTATTAATATTTATAATATATGCATCCGATGTTTTAAGAATTTTTATTCGAAGAATTTTTGATTTTTGGTACGATTGGGCATTAATGCAAAATTGATATATCGATTCTTTTTAAGAATGGAATGTTGGAAGATTTCTAGATTGTTGTATCGTAATGATTGAATATTTCTTTTAGATTCTGAAAATTATATGATAACGGCATTAATTTTTTTTGAAATTATTATTAGGATGAAATGTTAATTTATTGGCTCTTGGAATATATTTTTTAATGGAGGTAATAATTATTTCTAAAATAACGTAATTTTCTTTTTTTTATATTTTATATAAATTTGATGGGATTAATGGAATTAATGAATGTATCGTATTTATTTGATGGATGATTATATGTATTGATTGACCCGTTCTATCCTCTCCGTATCGTATGATTCGCTTTTTACTATTTGGGACGGCAATATGATGCTGTGAAATATGTTGGTTGATTTAAAAATCATTTTTTGAATATTTTTCAATGAAATTATATTAAAATAGAGATGGCAACATTAATTATTATATGATCCAATGGGTTAGGATACTATATTTGTATTTATATTACTTCGACATCCTGATCAAAAATCTTGCAATTTTTAAGAATTTATACACCGATGGCACAAACAGATGCCATACACCAATATATTTATGTGTGCATCTCATTATCTATCTTCAAATTGAATGATTTTCGGATTTGCATCGCAAGAATGAAAGATCCTGATTGATTTTTCAAGAATTGAAATCTTTTTATTTATATATGCTACTCCACATGGCCTGACAATGCACTGGATCCAATACCGCATCGTTGGCATAACCACACTTAGGGTCGGTTCCTGACGCCGGCCATTACCAAGGCTGTCCCCAACGAATGGAAATATTTGGTTATTAGATGATGATCGCCTGCCTTAGAAAAATCGCCTTTATAATTGTACGAGGCTTTGAAGCTCCTGAAATTTTCACATTCGTGTGCTGCCCAATACGGGCTAATATGAGCTTGACCGACTATTATATTATATATTATAATATATTATAGAGATATATTTCTTTCATCTTAAATTCATAAATATATAAATTCTATTATATTTGATTTATCGATTTAATTAATGCATTATTCAATATAAATAAAATATCTATATGGATATTATTGAAAATATACTTATTAATTGATTCAATAATTATTTTTTGTCGGATATTAATTAATATTTAAAATGTTTTTAGACCAAATTTTTATAATTAAATATGATTTATTCGATGAATTCATAGATTATATTTAAAATTAACAAATGCAATTATGTATATTATATAATTTATATTCGTGATTCTCGACGAATGGCTTTGGAGGGGAAATTTTGTACGATAAAAAGATGGAAATTTAGTAATATATTGATGAAACGGAATCTAAATTGTTATTTATTGTTCAAGAATTATTTCAATTGTTTGGCGAATGGAAGGAACGATTCCATTCCTAATTATAAGGTCGCACTATGCCACTTTAATTTTTTCGTGATTTAATATAAATATACATATTAAGAATTGCAATAGAAATTATGAATCCTGAATCAAGAATTATATATATATTTTATATTACAAAAACATACAATAAAATAATCCTCGATAATATCTACATATTAATTTGCATTTATTTTGACAAGAATATTATCCCAATATTAATATATTCAATCTTAATCATTATTTATATATTTTGATCTTTTGGATTTGTTCCCCAATACCCTTAAATTCTAAATTTTGTTTCATCGAATTCATAATCATATATTTATCCACGAGGTGCAGAAAAATCGAATTATAAGGCTTTATCATTATATTAAATAAAATAAGAAACAATGAAATATTTAATTAATGAAAATCTTTTTTTTCCCGAAAATAATGCGAATATTCAAATCATTGCATATTACTTTATGAAATCTTATTTTATGGCATGGATTTTGGCATTTGTAAAAAACGAATATATTTTGCCAAATTGAAATAGATATGAAATATTATGCGCATTTCATTCTCTTATAATAATCTATATCTATCCTTTAGGTATCTATATTTTTCTTTTCCAAGATTTCCCTCTCAAAATTATTGTCGCGGACCATTCCACATAATATGCATCTCGACCGATATCTTTCAATTTCTTATATTTATGAGGCATCAAGATGATATCTATCATAATATTATTTGATATATTATTTGGCCCGTGGATGACCGGACATACATTTTATATATAGATTATCGGGCATATATTTCAATAATTTCTATTGATATTTACCAAATTTACTATGACATAAATAGAATAAGAATATATAAAAGAATAGATTTACTAGAAATAATACGACATACCAATTATATCTTTTATACTTCCATTAACCTTAAAAATTATGTATTATAAATTAAATATATAATTTCAAATAATGAACAAATATATCATTAGGTCTCAAACGCTACAGTAATGCTTAATTTAGATTTCAAGACATATTTAGCAATAATCATATGGTTTGCAAAATCAAATCCATATAGAAAATAATCATTATATATATATATAGAAATATTAATATATATATATCCCAAAAGATAAAGATATTTATTCAAACCAAACATTTATTAATTTTTGATTTTTATATTATTATCTTTTCGATCATTTTTATACATTTTCATATTTAAATATATTATAAAGAAATAATCCAATATTTCAATTAATATATATATATTTATTATATATTTCAAAAATTGAGATATAAATATATCTTTTCAAAAAAATCAAATATGTTCATTCATATATATATATATATTTAAATATTATTCAAAACAGATTTATATTACATATTATATCATAATCTATATTTCTATTCTTTCTATCTCCTTCAAAAATTGTTTAATATATTGATTTCAATGAAATTCATCAATATATATATATATATTCTATATTCTACAATATTTTCTTCAAATTTAGAAAATCTCAATCCATATCAAAATAGCCTTCTTTATATACCTAAATTATTTATTTATATTAATCTTATCAATATTAGAGCCTATTTCAACCTATTTGTTAAAACCTAAAATTTTGTTTATATCCCTACAACATGCGTTTCTAATGCTATAACATGTTTTCACCTAATCCTATCCCTTATTTGTCTATTTCGCGTAAATATCCTACTTATGTTCTGAAAGAGGAAGGGCGTATATATATATATATATGAGAATATTAGTCTAAAAATCGGTATTAATCACGATTAGTTTTGATATTTATCAAAATATTCCTTTTGGACCGCCGGCCACTTCAACTTTGCCACGCTCCATCTTTCGGTTTTTGAGGTAGGATATGAACTCCCGAGCCTCTCCCTTTTCAAGATCTTATGATCAAATTCCTTCTGCGTCAAGTGGTGGAAACGCGCAATATAGATCGCGTAACCCCTGCGGGTCACAGGGCAATCAATCGATGCCCCCTCGCAAAAGTGGTATATATATATATAAATATATTTGATAGCTTTCCGCCTCCTTCTTTCATCCACCCCCACATACACGGATCATTGGCCGTCACATAGCGGCCATAGGCACAATGGCCCTTTGCGTACTCAGGGCATCTATAATCTGTATAATCACGGTCCCTTGAGCCCGTCCGTCATTGTCCCGGATGGCGCCTTCAAATATCTTCCCTTCCCAATCTACTCTATACAAGGCAATATTTTCTCTTTGACGTGACTAATTCGTTATTATAAGCAGACAAACCAAGACCTAATCTGGGATGGCGCGATGAACCAGACGAACCAATATCTAATGCTGGGGCAACATGAACAGCCAGACGAACATCATATATGTGCGTGCAAGACGGCACACATGCAAGCATCTTATCCGCCTCCCCCAATCCCCTAAAGATACATAAATATTTTTTGCATTCCTCCCGAATTCCCCCCACTTGAGCTTTACACATATATGCACGACAATCTACATACAAGCATCTTAAATGAACGCAAAAAAGCCTTGGTGTTATTTAGCCAAATACGTAATAAAACGACCGTTTCTATCCGACATATAGTTTCCTGCATATTTCCGTAGTCTTTTCCTGTCCTTTCCAATCTTTTCCAATTCCAGTCAAAAATAGAATTCTACACGGTATTTCTGTTGTTTCCCCACAAAAATGAAAACTAATCTACGGCGCGGCTGGCGCATACAACGCAACGCGCTTTGTCACATGCCTCCAATGCGGCGGCTTAGCTGCGAATCTGCACTTCTTTAACGATTTCATCGGCTCCTTTAACAATGCTTCCGCCGCATCGCAATAAATTTACAAAATTATATGCTATTATATCAGATATATCTATCAATATTTCGCTATCAATATTTATAATCTATAATTCCAATACCTCTATCAATCTTTTATTTAAATCAATGCATAATCTAATATGCATTCTCTCGGTATCTTCACCAACACCTCTCTATTTCGATTTTAACAATAATACCTATCTAGAAGGCAAAACAATATATAAAAGAATAATAATCAAAGATAGAAATAAAATATATAATTCAATTAATATTATATTCAAACCATTCTATCCAAAAAGAATAATCAATTCAATTACCTTATTCCCATTACATTATTCCCAAATTCGACAAATGATAAATGCCCCCATTTCCGATTAATCCATAAAATTAAATTTCTAAATTCGACGAATCCCCCGATCATATCCCTCCATTTGTCCAAAATATGATTTTTTTTTAAAATTGAGTTGAATATATTAATATTTCCAATTTATGCAAATATATTATGTAATTCGATTCCATATGTTTATAAATCATTAATATAATATTTTCATCTAGAATTTTACAAAATCCAACCTTTTATATTTTCCAAATTAAATATATTCTCGTATGCAAAAACTAAATATTCTACTTATCTAAAATTATCATTCAAATTATATTATATATATTCAAAAAAAAAGAAAATATTTATTCAAAATTTATTAATTTCGAAAATTTCCGAAACCAATATATAATAATTAAAAATAATTCCAATATATTACCTATCAATTTTTTATATTATTTAAAATAATAAGTTTTAATCCTTTCGGAATTATTAATTCAAAAAAATCATTATAAAATAATATGTTCCAATCCAATTCCCATATAAATTAATTATTTAACAATATATTAAAAAATATCAAATCATATAAAGACCAAATTAATAAATCCTTCCCCCTATATAAAAAATTCAAAATCTAAAATGCCATTCAACAAATCCACTCTCCTTTAATAATTTACGGAAAAAAAGAAAAACAAATATAAGAATTAACATAATAAGAATCGTAATGACAATAATAATAAAAATCATTATTATAATTATATAGAATGATATTAATTATCGTAGCAATTATATATTATATAATAATTTTTCCTATAATATTACAAATAATTACCAATAATCAAATTCCATTTCCGTATTATAAAATCCTACATACAACAACACCCAAGCTCCAAAGCACGCACTACCTCATTGGCAATAACGATTTAATACCAACATCCAATACCGACACCCTATCTCCACCACGCGCAGAACCAACTCACAACACCACCCAGCACCGATACCCGATCTCGAAAGCGCGCGTAGCCAATTCATTCTTATTTAACATAAGAACCCTATAGTTATCACTATCTAGGGAAAAATATCAAACGCAAATAAGGATATTATATGATATACGAAATAAACACCTCCAAATTTTGGCAAATAATTGTGCTACTATCCAAAACAAAAATGAACAAATATTCAGACATTCTTCTTTAAAGACTTCAATAATCTCCAAAATTTCCGGAAGGTTCGTCCAAAATTCTCGAAAAAATTGCAAGTTTCGGCCTCATCATCGTAGGTCAGCGGTCATTTACGTTTGTCGTATCAGATTTTCGACAGGATGTGCGCAATGGGCCGAAGGGTTACCGCCACCGCTTGATGTAATGGAGCTTCTTGTTACTAGTAGCGTCCTTGTTACTACTAGTAAGGCATTTGTTACTAGAAGCGATGCACTTGTTCCTAGTAATTAGCTTCTTGTTCTCTTTTTATATTTTGAATATCTTAATTTATTTTTTTGATTTTTTTGCAAGGTTTGCATTGAAACCTCCAGATCTTCTTGTGAGATGGTTTTCTCCGAGATCGCCAAATATGATCCTCGGGATATCAATCTTTCCTCATGGACAACCTTTACAATTGTATTCGATGGTCTGTCCAGCAATTGGTGCAGGATTGCATGCTGGTGGATGACAAATCATCTTCGCCCAGTCCTTGCCCTCAGGGAATTCAGGGAGCTCGGGAAATCCGATGTTTTCTCTACCCAAGTAAACTGAACCATCATCGGGCTAAGTGTTTTCTAACCGTCTCACCGATCCCACACGATTCTCCTCCGGTGACCCCGTGCCTGGCCGTCGCAACAACGATCAGCAATTTGCCAACATCCCTCACCGGACTTGACCGTTGTCTTGCCGTGATCCGGCATAGGCGGCCGTGGCGTTGGCTTCACTGGTGAAATGTCTAAAGCTTTCAACCTGGTTGGTGCTTCTAACTTGCTTCAAAAAAATGGTGGGATTAATATGTCATCCCACAATAAAAGGTTTGAACATGTTGAACATAAAAGGATCTGAAGCCACCCAGCAACCATTCGCAGTAGTACTTTTCGCGCTGTGGATTGGCCGACTTGTCCGCCGGCCGAATCACCTCAAAGGGGTTTTGGATGCTTCGAGGTGATGTTTGGGATGCTTCGAGTCCAGAAAAGAGGCCATCGCTCGTAGGGTGGAGGCCATCACTAGTAGCTAGTAGGTTGCATCGCTAATCGCTAGTACAAGTAGGTTGGAGTTCGGGACCTTGAACTCTCTTCTGAATTACACTGCAGAAACGGGCCCGGTGTGACCGGTGGCGCGTTACACGCAGGTGGACTCGCTGAGAGGACAAACGCAGGGGCTTCGCACCTCCAGGGAGGACTCGAAGGTATGCGCTTCGTCCCATGGCTTGGAGTTTTGTTGCCAATAGGCGATCGCCGTCAGCCACGCCATTTGGTCCTTGTCGCAAATGCTATCCGGGTTGGCACACAGATCCACTGAAGAGGCCTCGGAGAAGAACATGGCTTTCTTCAAAGGCTGGTGGAGCATTCCGGCAATGTAAGCCGATTTGCGTTGATTTGATCAAACGCCATCTGAAAAGAAATCAAACACCATCTCCCGAACGCACTCCAGGAGTCCAACGGCCCCCCCGAAAAAGGAAGGAACCTCCCGCCCAATGGACGAGGGCGCCTTCTGGACGATGGCCTCTAAGCCTTGGTAATTGCCGGGCCAGGTGAGCTGCGTGGCGCCTCGCCCGAACCAACAGTTCTTGGGATCCACTTTGTTCCCCCAGAAATCGGTACAGCCATCGGCTGGAGCGTCTGCACCATTGCAGGTGGTGATGGTGAAGCCTGCAATCTTGGCCTTCCTGGCAAGCAAGAAGGCAAGCCAAAACATGGCACAGGCCTTACTTATCTAAACAAATGCAGAAACAACCAAACACAATACATATCGAGAGAGAGAGAGAGAAAAACCACTATATATAGTCTTTATAACATGCTAATCTTGCTAAATGCTGCTAAATGTAGAGTTATAATGAATTATACACAGACACCTGCAACGCTCTTCATGCAGAGTTGCTCTGATGTGTAGTCGTTGATCTTGCCTCCGGAGCAGCCACCTTTGCAATCAGGATCCTTGTCGCATGGGCAACTGCCATCTTCCATGCGGACTCGTTCCTGAATTCAGGGCCCACAACCTGTTGATCACCATCCCCCAGCGTTATTCACGGCGGTCGAACGCACCGCCAGTCCGTCCCAAACATTCGAGACTGAAGACACGTCCAACGAGTTCGGCCCGAACGCCACCGTCGTCCGTCGTCCGGGCCTGTCCCGGTCATCGGCGGTCGGGTCAAGTGGGGGGGGCGCGGGGTCTGTCCTTGCAAGCGGTCCAGTGCAGGGTTTCCACCTTCAGATTCGCCATCATGGCGACCACCGTCATGGCTTTCACCTTCGTTTCGCTTTCGCCCAGAAAGGTCGGTACATGGTCGGCCACCGCCATCTTGTTGTACTGGCAAACAGCGCTTAAGTAGCTCTTCCAGGTGTAGAAAGCTGGCACCTTCAAAAGCGTTGATCGATTCTTTTTTGGTACATGGGCGTGTGTACCCAAAATTGGGAGACCTCCCGATCAACGACCCCCCCGGAAGAAGAACAAAGAAGGCCACGACCCATCGGGCACATTCTAAGAAAAACAATTTGAGCCACATAGCACACAAGTTCTCTGTAGTGCACATGCGGCATCTCACATCACTTTAGGAGCCTTTCCAAACATTCGCCTCTTGCCAGGCTTCGCCCAGACCGAAGAGATTTCCAGTTGGGCCAATCTTCTCGCCGTAGTCCTTCAGCAGCGCGTCCACCTCTGGGCAGCTGTCGCGATGTTTCTCCACGTGTGCATGGGCCAAAAGCACCATGTCCTCAGAATCGCAGTCGACACAAACCTCTGGATTGACGTCCGCCTCCGCCAGCACTGCAAACAGCACCACAAAGAGCCTCATGGAGCTGCAGCCTTCGCTACTTACAGACTCCGACACTCAAGCTTTGAGCCGCAACAGCTTGCAAGGTGCAGAAGAAACAATACTTGCATTCTGCGCATGCATGCTGACTTTTTTTCTCACACACGCACCATCATATAATTACCTCCTTGTAAAAAAAAATGAAAAAAGAAAACACGCTCCTTGGATTGATCGCAGAGAATCTCAACCAACCCTTGATCAACCGGCTGCCTCCGCTTTTTGGGCTCGCTCAATCGGCCAATCGGCCACGGAATGTCAATAAATCTCCCGGAACCGAGAGGCCCCTGCGGCCTTCAATGCCTGCAGCGTTGCATCAGAGGGAGAGATGCCACGTTCAAGCATCCTCTGGAAGACCTCAAAGGAAACTGCGCAGTTGACGTGGAGAAATACAACGATAAATACATGTAAATACAATGAAATACACTATACACTCCCTGAAACAATCATGGACTTGAAGCGTGCGCCCCTGGAAGACTGCTTTTCTCTACGAAGGGGTCCTGGTTAGCTTCCATGGCTTGTTGGAGGGAGGGTAAATAATCTAAGACTAAATCATCCTCTACTGGAAGGCCTTCCGTGTAGGACGTGGCTCACCCTTTGCTCAAAACACAAAACACAAAGAAAGGAACAACAGGTAACAACACATGGGGCCCGAAGATGACCATGTTTGTAGCAAGGGGCATGGAAAAAATTTGCCTGGGCCTTTGGAAATGTCATCGAGCGAACAAGACATCACAAAGCCCTCCTTCTCATGCTCATCCCGGGACTGTGGAGGAAAATGCTCTGCCTATGTCATCTATGTCCTCTTCTATAGGGGCCTTGTCTGAGAGTATGTAAAATGTTTACACCGTGTTTTTCCCGCGTGTCATTTGCCCCCTCTACTTCGTAAATCTTTGGGGGAACGGGATACTTGGGCAGGACTCTTCGCCTCTTTTTGGATGGCCCGTCCACAGGGAATCCACGCAACAAGATCAACAAGGCATGAAATTTGGGAGTATGAGTGTGCCCCAAAGATATATGATTGCAAGAAACAAACCCTCTGTGCCTGCGAACCCCTTTTTGAACCTCATCATTTGCCTTCGTTTCCTGACATGATCCATCCATTGCTTAGCATGCCTCGTCCAGTGCATGCTGCATGCCTCTCGCATCACAAAGCAACACATCGTGAAACAACGAAAGCTCGACGCCAATCCGAAGCGAAATCGCTTCTCCGGCCACGACACGAAGCTGAAGGGACCGAAACGAACGGCCCGAGTGTCTGACCGAGTCATGACCGGCCCCACCTCTTCTGCAAAGGCCTTTCTCTCATCAGGGGCTGAAGATGATGACTCTGCACACGCCCGCAAGAGCTGATTGAATTGAATCACTGTCGCTATCCTGAAGTGCTGTTTCGCTTGTGGCAAACAATGGGTGCGTTTGAAAGAAGAAAGGTAGAAAACTATAAGCGTGTGTTGTGCTTGTGCCTAGTTTCTGGTCACCTCTGGCTGCGGCCCGGTCCATTCTAGTGTCTCTCTCTCTCTCTCATCTATTTACATCCTTCCAATGTAGGACTACCGTACTCAGCGTTGTCTTCCAATTTGGTCCCCTCTGCTCGGGAAGCGTATTTCGCTCCACATATGACAGCAGTCTTGGTCTGAAAGCGGTCGCTCGGTTGCTCACCCTCAAACCCTTGCGGCTTTTGACTACCCAGACGTTCCTGGACCCGAACCTATGGAGGAGTCTGGGGTTTCTCACCAATCCCTACGTCGGTTTGGAGGGAGTCGGGCGTCGTGTTCGGAGCGTCGGGCATCTGTATAGGTAGACAAACATGTCCTGAAGCAATGCCGAGAGTCAAGCCCTTGCGTTCCATGTCTCCGAACCACTTAGCAGCAGACTCCAGGTTGCCCAGGCGTGCGTACCCATTGATGATCGCACTATAGCTCTCCACAGTGGGTTTCTGCCTGGAGCTGGCAGGGGGGAGAGACCATAGAGAGAGAGAGAGAGAGTTGGGTCAGTCAAGCTGAAGTTGGCAAGGTTGCTTTCATCAACTCTTCACACAAACTCACATGGGACTCACTTCGTGGCACAGCATCTTCACAGCCCACCTGTGTGCTATCTTAGTATGGAATGGAGAGCACCTCATAAATCACCTGTTTTATAACTGATTTTACAATTTATAGCTGATTTACATTCTCATTCTTCGAGTTTCCATGATTTCAGTTCAGTTGCTCGAAGGACTCCATCTCAGCGAAGTATCCTCGTGCTCGGGTCATTTCTCCCGCCCGCGCATGGGCTTCCATCAAGGTGGTATAAGCAACTGTATCCGGGATGAGGCCTCCACACCACACCACCAGTGCAATGTCACACATGCAAGTGCAGGCCTGTTCTGAAGCATAATAATCATACTATATAAGCATAAGATGTACGTCACTACCCCCACCGCTAGTGTAGGAGTGTGGTGATGCCTATTATACTTAAGAGTATAGTATAGCCGCTATATATATATATACACATGTGTGTGTGTCTACACCTACCTGTACCAAAGGACACTACTCCATGCAAATTAATTCGACTCTTGGACTAATTTAATACACAGGCAGGCAGGGGGGCAATGCACGACTGACAGGCATTGCCCAACGAAGACGCTGTCAGTTCGTGGTGAAGCAATGCGGGACGCCGCATTGTGTACCTGCACTCATTCTCCTGTTTGAACTGTAAAGTGCTAATGTTGCAATTCCACGCTCGCTATCTGGATGGAACGTCTGATCCACAGCTGAAGAGGTTGGCCGATGAAAGCTGTCTCATCTAGATAGGCTGGGCCCCGCCCTTGTCCAACATTTTTGGGCACGTGTTGCAAGTGGAATTGCACTGGGCATGAAGGTTTTGATTTGCTTAAGCGGGTTGAATTGTAGCTTACAAGTACTTTGGATTTCAGCAAGCACCAAAACAATTTCTCTTGATATTTCCAGTTGTCAACAGCTGGCAAGTTTGTCTCCTGCTTGTTGCATTCATCCCACGTTCTTTCTTCATACCTAGTTTACCTGATTCCCATTGCTAGTGGATCACGCCTTGTGCTAGCAGCTCCTTGAACCATTCATCTGCCAAGTCTGGCTTTCCAGTTTTAGCTGCAGCGTCCAACAAAGCGCTGTACATCACCACATCTGCCTTGATGCCAGCGTCTTGGGCCGCCCTAAACCATCCCTCAGCAGATTGTAAATCCCTGTGCTTCGCTGCCACACTCACCATGATGGTGAAGGTCACGCGATCTGGCCGCAGCCCAGCCTGTGAACAGGGGGAAAATGATGAACAAACGGGTTTTGCTATGCATGCCACATGCCCAAAGGGTGTTAAGGCAATTCAAGTGCCCATTCTGATCAAAACTCTGAACTCCATTTTCGCAATAGGCAATAGCTCTTAAACAATCTTAAACATATGTTCTTTTTATCTTAAACCATCTTAAACCACTTCCAACTCTCAAATTCTACCCACTGCAGAACGACATTTTGTTGCTGGACCTCGATGGTCTTTGCAAACCAACGCTCCGCCAAGCGCAGCCCTTCACGTCCCACAGCGTTGATCATGGCATTGAAGGTGGTCAAGCGAAGCCTGGGCGTTTGACACGGCACCACCTACGGCGTCGGCTTCGGCTGCGAGGACCCCCAACATTTGCCTGGAGACCACTGAAGCCCTGGTGGTGGGACAGTGATGCGTTTCGCCGGGGTGTCTGAATCAAAGGATTCGTTGCTGGCGCTGCTGAATCTGAAACTCCAAGTTGCGGCTTCACCCCCAAAGGCCTCTCTTCGGCTGGAAGAACGGCGCCCGTGGCGGAATTGGGGAGGTCTTGCTCACTTTCCATCGGTTCTTTTGAGGGATCCCTCTTCATTGCACTGACACAACCCCTAATTACACACAACCGACCAGCTTCACCGAGCAGCTTCACCGGTGCTTGTTGCGCCCGTTCAAAGGTTTCAACGGCCAATCGATGCGAAGCCTTCACATACGGACTCTTGGCACAGGCGGTCAGCACCGCATCGTAAAAGGCGATATCTTCTGGGAGGCCATGCTTCTTCGCAAGCTTCTGCCAGCTCTGTGTCTCGTTCAGCAGCCCTTGCTTTGAGGACTCTTGAGCTAATGCAATGTATGTTCCTCACCGCGGCTGCGGCGGTGGTGGTTTGTTGATCCCAAAAACACCACGGACGAACAAACAGCTTGAGGTGAAGAACAGCGGAAGCGCTCCCGAGAAACAGCTCAACAGCTCAGCCCCCCATCCTCATGAACAAAGTGCGCAACATAAAGGAGGCAAAACACGGTGAAGACCTGCAACGACACGAAGAAAATGTCACGAATTCTATTACGAACGCATCAAATACACGGGCTGGCTGCAAGTCAAGAGGCTCAGGTCGAACTCTAAGCCCATTTGCTGGTATCCATCCTCCACGATCGATCGGGCAAACTCCAATTGACCCTTCCTGGCCGCCGCAATGGCCACAGATCCCACGGATGAGCTGCTGAGTTGCACCGAGCGTTTCTTCGCGGTGTGGTACCAGCGTGAGGCCGCGACTTCATCACCATGGTGAACTACAGTGGTCAGTAGGGTCTGCAACATGGCAGCATCCGGTTTGACTCCTTTGGTCAAAGCCACTTGAAACCAATGCTCAGTAGCATTGAGGTCATTTCGCTTGGCTGCTGCATTCATCAAGATATTGAAGGTCTTGATATTTGGAACAAGCCCTGGCAGGCGGTTTTTTCAGGCAATTCCCGGTGGCAGACGAACCAGTACCCTCTGGACCCCTCTTGATCTTCGGGCCCTTTTGTCTACGGTAACCATGCAGCAACTACGGTTGGATCTTGGTATGGCCATTGGACAAATGATACTGTCATTGCGCGGGGGGGGGAAGTAGAAGGCTTTGTTCAACAAAAGCCAACGGCACAGGGTCCTACAGCGGCTTCTGTTGGGAGGAAAGGCTTTACACCTGGCCTTGGACCACTTGGATGATTCGCCACGCCACTGAAAGATGGGTCTTTTTTCAAGCGATATATAAAGTCCGGATCGCAAGACATGACACACACACAACATGAGTTTTGGCTTGATCATTCCCAAATTACATGACTGATCATTCGTACAACAACATGACTGATCATTCCCAGATCACATCCGATCACTTTGCTGTTTGGCTTGATCCGACCTGTTTTCCGGTCGAATGAGTCACGGGGACACGCTTGATCGCTTGACCTCCAGACCTCAAGTCGACCACTGTTACTTCGGCAGAAACACCGAACAGAGTCCATTGAAGTATCGTATTTAAATAGGTGAGACCTTCCAAATATCTCATCAAAAAAGGACAATAGACCAGTCTACCATAGTCTACCCAGCCAGGGCCAGGGGCCATCAGCAGTCTCCCCCGGATTTCAACCCATGTTGGCCTTGCAAAGCCTGGTCCACGGAAACCTCTCCGCGACCCGAAGCCGGTGCCGCTTCGTCGCCGGCGGATGCGCCGCGCCTGCATCCTCACAAGTGTGAAACCATCGCTCGGCCGAACGGGTGTCCCCCGCGCGGCTGGCCGCAGAGATCAACGTGTTGAAGGTCACCACATTGGGGCGTCCACCACGGTCCTTTGTTCGCAAATGATTGTCAAATCCAAGATCGAAACTCTGAGCTTCGATGCGTTTTCTGGAGTTAGGGTTCTCCGGTTTTTCTCGATGCGTTTTCGACCTAAACGAAGTGTTTAGGGTTCATCTCTCCAAGGTTTACTGCATGAACCGTCATGAAGCTGGCAAAGAACCAAGCCTCAGGCAGGGGATCATGTGGCATGTAGGGTGTCTCTATACTACAAAATCTGAAAATGTTGCAAACAAAACAAACTCGTCACCATCATCCGTCACAGTAGCATGAAGTGACCCAGATTTGTACCAGTGTTTTCAAGCACCAAAATACGCTGGTAATGCTGTATGAAAAAGCAACTGATTCCCAACCTTGCTGTGGTTCCTTATCATTCCAATCGAAGAAACTGTCCAGCGAGGTTTCAGGCACAATCTAGGTTTGCGGTTCCAATGTACAGTGTCAAGCTACCATACAAGTTGATCACTCCAGAAAGCCTGAAGAAAACAAACAACTAGCCCCATTTGGGCGTCGACTTTCACAACACTTGGCCATCCAATCAGCGTGTTGAGCGCCGCGAATTCAGATCAGCATCCACCGATTCTCGATACCAATACTCTGCTGCGGAGTGATTTCCCTTTCGCGCGGCAGCGTCCATGACCGCCGTGAAGATTTGGATGTCGAGCTGGAGTCCCTCCGCGTCAGCTTGTCTCAGCCAGGATTCAGCGCCCGAAAGGTCCCCCGCGCGGGCAAAGCCTCCTTGGCAGGTTCGAGGCAGGTTCGAAAAGAAAGGACACCGCCATGGTCATGAGAAAGGTCATTGGATGGTCATCAAAAAGTTCCAAAGTCGACATAAAGGAGAACGGGTCAAGGCTGATCACGCAGGGCGACCCAGTCCACAAACGACCGGGGGTCCCAGTGGACAGTAGCGGCAGGCAAGTTGGGCTGATCACACAGGGCGACCAGTTTGGCAACTTCTGGGGAACAAGCAAACCACAAAGGGCTTTTGAAGCAAGAGCAAGCAGGGTATGCTTGAGAAAGGCTAGGTGGCTAGGCTCAGGATGGCTCAGTGTCATTGTCTTTCGGGGTCGTCATCACAATGCCTTCTCTGGAGCCACCCGTTGGCACGAGAGAGGAGGGTTGAGCACTCCGAAGCTGGGCTGAAGAGCCTTGCCGTGGTGCCGCATGCGGTGGTCCGGGCATGCCGCGCATGCCGCAGAAAACAGCTCTTTATAAGTGCAAACATTGTGGTGGGAGCAAGACTGACGCAAGGACATGCCACAGCCAAGACAAGACGCCTCAGGACTGCAGCATCACAGCGTGTTCAGTCCAAACATTGTGGTGGGAGCCAGCACCAGTCTAGATCCCCCAATATCAGAGCCATGAGAATGGAGCATGCCCAGCAACAGGCTGACGCCCGGAAGACATCCGCATAGAAAACACAGGGCGGCAGGGACACACCAAGCCAGACAAGCTTGCGAGACAAGTGTGGCAAACACGACGCAAATCACGCAGTGGTGGTAGTTTTCGGGAGTCAGCCACCCAGTCGTTGAGAAGTAAGAAGCTCAAAATCACCCTGCGCATCCCTGCGCTCTGCAGGGATAAACATGTCTACATGGTTGTCTAAGAACTAAAGAACATCAAAGTCATCACGGCTAGAACTGAACTTGAGTACTCACAGGCCGTCGAACAGTTTTTCAGACGGCCAAAATTCCAGACAAAGGATGAAAAGGGTGCAACGAGTTTTGTCATTTTGGGCCAGGCGCTAATCAAGCTCGTATACGTGATGAGGCTTGCTTGAAGATTCTCCTTTCGGGCCTGAAAGTACCAGTACTCACCCGCTTCGGGCAGTCGTGCCTCTGCCGCTGCCTTGATGAGGATATTGTAGGATGCCATCCTTCGTGACAGCATTGATCAAGACTTGCAGATTCAAAACAGTGAGAACGAATGCCGTGCAATGCCATGAAAAACATCCCTCACCTTTGCCGAGAAAAACCTGGGAGAAACCGCATAAAAACACAACTGCAGATGCGGAGGGTGCGAAGAAGAAAAACACGTTCACCACCCTGAGAGTTCACCTTTTGCAGTTCAGCATCTCATGTTGAATTCCGCTGTCTTTCGCATACCTCGCAGGTCGCAGCGATTTAGCAAGTGTTGGACAGCAAACGGTGTTCCATTGGAGGAAGAACAAGAAAAACACAGGTATGCATACACCTTGCCCTAGAAGTCCAGTTCGACTATATCTTGCTGGAAGGAGTTGTTGTTCCTTTTTTTCTGCACCAGGTTTGAACGCTCCAATGGTTTTTTTTGAACTAGATCCGACCTTCTTTCCCAAGCTACTTGAAGAAGGCCTCGGCCATGGTGAGATTTCCTTCACACGCTGCAGCATCCATCAATGCCACCACCACCTGGAGCCCCAAAGCCACACGTTCTTCCTCTGCCCTTCGGAGCCACCTGTGTGCACCGCACCGGGGAAAACGGGCACCGAAACGAACATCGAAGAGAATGCGAACTGATCTGGTTGATCTATGTTGATCTGTATATCGTGTAGAATACAACCGGCAGATCAGTTTTATAGGGCATTCCAAAAGAAGCTAGCCAATGTACATGTAACCCAGGCAATGTAGGCCGGTTCACACAAATCAAGATGCCCCCGGCGAGATTCCCGGGATATCCGTTTGACGTCTCCACTCGATGAGGAGGGAGTGGAGTTCGTTCCTTCTTCGGGTTTTCTCTTGATCTGCCGATAAGCTTCAGTCTTAACATAGGACCAAATCTCGAAAGCAGAATCAACCTTGGTAAATGAAAAGATAGATGGTGGGCAACAGTTTGGAGCCCCTATCTCCCCAAACGCAACGAACCATGGCTCAAATCTGGACTCTCCCAAATTCCCGAACACAAAATCCTACCCATGTCCACATCTTCTTACATCTTCTTACCATTGTTTTCCCCTTCTGCCTTCTTCTTAGGAAACCCACCCATTTAAACTGCCTTGTAAGGTCCGAGGTGGGTGATCTGATCCGCTGTGTTTTGTTATGTCAAAAAAACGAACACGTCCATGTCCTCTCTCATCCCAACCACGTCCATGTCCTCTCTCATCCCAACCAAAAAGCCCACAAACACCACCTGCGCCACGAACGCCACCACGCCGAACCACGCCGAACACCACGCCGCCTCCCGCGTCGAACGCCGCACCTGTCGGCCGCGTGGAAGTCGCGCTGCGCCGCCGCGGCCCGCAGCACCGACTCGTAGACGCTGACGTTCGACGGATCGTTCGACGGAGACAAAAGCGACGCGAAGGCTTCCACCAAAGGCAGTTGGTTTTCGTCCACGGCCTGCGAGGCTGCCGGGCTGCCACGTGTTTCTAGATGCATATATGGCATATATATATATGTTGGTGTTGGGACATGGTCGTGTTCCCTTGGTAACAAGCTGCAATTCAACGAACCTTCAACGCTGAAAACACTTCCTTTTTCGCGGTGACCTCTGGCCTTGTCTGGACCAGTTAAGGTCTTGATGAGGTGTTCACACCTCATGGAAAAGGGCTGCGGCGTTCACAGCACCTCAAACAAAAGCGTGTCATCCTTGCACAGGGGCCATGCATCAACACTCCCCCTGGCTTTGGCGAAGACACTTCGATGCCCTTGCCCCCACCATACGAGTACTCCAGGCACTAGGCCCTTCTTCCAGCATGTATGGTGGTGACGGGCCAACCGTCAGCTCAAGCCCTTTCTTCTCGCGGCCAACCAGGCCCGGTGGCAGCAGCGCAAAACCAACAATGCCCATGCATTGGTTGAGGACAGCTCAGCTGCAGGATGCCAACCCCAGACCAAGATGGCCTAGTCTTCCTTTCTTTTATCTTTTGTGGTCTTTGACCTCATCAAAACCGCAATGCCAGCAGGCATTCATTCCATCTTCAAGGCCAAAATGGCCATAGGCAGGCTGCCGTGCACCCTCGACACCCCCCTTTTTTCTTTCTTTCATCCTTTCTTCACATGTTGAGCTCCCGTTCCCGGAGCTCTTGCAGGCATCGAACACATGGGGCATACTTCTTTTCGGCTTCAGTTGAACATGCCGGTGGTCTGGCTGCGTCCACATGGTAGATCTCGCCCCATCCACGAGACCAAAGGTGTTCACCTCTTCGGACATGGGCCATGTCGATGGTGAAGGCGCAACGATGGCATGGAGGTGAGGTCCGGAGCACGGATGAGGTGAGCGTAGGGCAAGAAGTGAAAATGTGGTACTTCTGCCCATACTTGATGATGTAAACACCCATCCCTTGGTACCTCCGGCCTCCATCCCCAATTGGCGGTTCGCCATCACGCTGAAATGCCCTGGGGCATGCCTTTGCAGCCGCTTCTGAAGGACCTGTCGGTCTCGGTTGAGGTGGTGTTGGATCCCATGCTTCATCGGCCATCATATCACGGTAATCCCTCTCTGTAGGGTGGTAGAGAGTCTCATCCTCATTGGCCGGAGACTCTTGTGGTGGAACATCGGGTGGTACTTCATGATCGCCGGCAGGAATCTCCTGCTCAGGCTCTTCTTGGATGCCAGTGAGCGTGACATCCGATTGAGGCTGGGAGGTTTGTCCAGATGAACTCGAGGTCGGAGGTACGCCAGCCTGTGCCCTCTCTTCGGGAGTGAGAGAGGAAAGCCATCGCAGCAACCATTCACGGTTCTGCAATCCAAACTGGCTTCTCTCTTCAGCTGTCATGGGGCGCGCTGGACCATACGCCCAATCAACAGGTTCACCATCTTGAGGATCTCCTTTGCCCTGCCCTTTTCCTTTTCTCTTTCCTTTTGACCTGGCACTAGGCCTATTGACTTCCCGGCCTTGCCAGTCAACGGTGATGGAACTTCCCTGGGATTCCGACGTGGAACTACCAGGTGGCCCAAGTGCCGGGGGCTCATATTGTTGACCAGCAGCAGCGTCACCATCATTGATAGCTGGTGCCAGCAACCAAGCACAGAAGCGCCTGAAAAGCAGGGTGGCCAAGATGACAAGGATGGTGTACAGCATCATGAACATTTGAAGCGGCTCAGAACCAGCTTGGTCAGAGGGATTCTCATCTTCATCACTCTGATTTCCTTGGGCCCTTGATTTGGCGATGAGTGCCATAAGCACCGCCAGCTGCAACTGTCGGCCGCTGTAGTTCATCATCTTTTGCATTCCTTCATCTTCCTTTCTTCTTTCTTCGCTTACTGCCTCTGGGCCATCCTCCTTTTCTTCCTTTTCTTCACTTGTCGCCCCTGGGCCATCCTCCTTTTCTTTTCTTTCTTCACTTGTCGCCCCTGGGCCATCCTCCTTTTCTTTTCTTTCTTCGTCCACCTTCTTCTGCAGGACCATGGACATCAATTCTTTCAGCTCCATAGTGCGCTGACTCGAAAGGGGCTTCGTGCCAAGGTCGGCAATCATGATGGCGCCAGGCATGTGTCTCACTCGCCAGTCGAGGTTGGTGATTCTCCAACGAACATGTTGTGCCCTCAGCCTCAAATGTCTGGTGCGCCAGTTGGCATGGCCATCGGAGAAGAACCCAGTGGCCGCAAGGTTGTCGACAAAGAGGGTCTTCACGTAGGGTTCCTCATGCTCTTGGATCATGCTATCAACTGCATCACCAGTTTGGAGCCCTTCGATGGCTTCCAGCAACTCCGACTCGGCAGTGGACAAGGCCGGAAATGGTTGGCGCCCGCTTTTCCAAAACATCAGCGCTCCATTCCACAAAACCATCACAGCGCCATGGGATGCCTGGGTTTCTGGCGAGGCTGCAAAGCTTGAGTCCGTGTAGACCTCCAATGACTTTGGTCCTCCATCCCATCCTTCTCCCTTTCCAGGAGGAAACTCAAGTCCTTCATTGGGAGTTGACTTCAAGTACTTCCAGACTTGGGTGGCTTGTTCAATCACCCAGGATGGATGTGGCAAGATTTCTTGTGCACATCGACTCGTAGCGAATGCTACATCGGGTCTTGTACGAGTTGACAACCACATCAGTTCGCCAACGAGCTTCTGGGCTGCATTGACCAACCCTGGAGTAGGCTCTTCTGGCATCGGAGCAGCATCCTTGGACATAGGGACCTTCATGTTCTTTGTATCTGGAATCCCTTCTTTGTCCTTGATGTAGTCTTCTTGCGATGCCCGATATCCTCCTTCGACTGTTTTGGTGATCTCCATGCCCAGGAACTTGACCTTCTCCTTTCCCACTTCTTCAGGTGTGGAGGTCTCCCATTGGGCCTGTAGAACTTGGATCACCTGGTCGACGGTCTTTTCATCACTTGTAACCATCAGGTCATCAACGTAGACCAATAGGAATCCAACCATCTTTTCTTCACATTCTTCATCTTCACCATCACCGAGCATGATGCTCCACAGATTCGGCTCAGCTTCGGCCTGGACAAAGCGATGTCCTTGTGGTGAGGTCAACTTCCTCAGCACCTGGTCACGGTAGACCCCCGCACAGCGCGGAGACTGGCGGAGACCGTACATAGCCTTTTGAGCCAGGTAGTAGTCCTTGGGCCCCACATGGCCCGTCTTCAGAAGAAGGGATGGTGGCTTCAATACCACCATGGTCGGCTCCTGACCTTCAGCTTCGATGTCCAGCGGCGCATTGAGGAAGGCTGTTCGAATGTCCAGCACTGATGCCTTCCAGCTCTCTTCAGCTGATCGCTTCAGGACGTAGCGAAGGCAAACGGCGTCCGCACCTGAGGCGTATAGGCATTGATCCTTCTGTTCCGCTGATGCTGGGTCAACGAAGTTGCCGCAAGCTACCAGTCTGATCTTTCTTCTTGGACCAGGCTTCAAGGTGATCACTACCTTCGAGGGCAGCACCTCCAACTTTCTGCCCCACTTTTCTTGAAGGGACTTGAACTCATTTTCATCGATCCAGCGGAGAGCCTTTTTCTCCTCAAACAACTGGTGAAGCTCTTTCCGGATTGCTTCGTCCCATTGTGGAGCTTCACGAAGGAGTTCTTTTGGGGAGACCACCCTGGTTCGAAGAACTGGTTCCTCCTCCTTGGGCATCGCGCTCTTAACCTTCTTCAGCTCCTCATAGACGACGTCCATAACTTTCATTTCATCCTTGAGCATGATCACACTTTCCTCCAGGACAATGTTGGAGATTCTCTCCAGGTGTCGTTCTCTTTCCTCCTCAACCACTTCATATTGATCTTCTTCCAACTTCATACTTCTAGCTCCCACTTTTCCTCGGATCCTTCTTCTGATTTCATAGGGACCCTCAGCCTCCTCAGCGGCCTTTGTGACAGCCATCCAAGTTGATTGGCTCGGCTCAGGTTCCTGGGTCTTCATGATGAAGTACGGGACGATCGCCGCGGAGCCATTGTCTCTCAACACCAGGTGACCATGAGCATCGGGTCTTGGAGCGAGGTAGCGAACCTTCTCATGGGTTGCCTCCAATTCTTTTGTCTTCCAAAATCTTCTTTTGACCAGGAGCTCATGACCAAATGGCGGAACATCCCCCAGATCAAGATCGGCCATGCGTCTTCGCTCCCGCTCGTGGACATAGTGGCATGCTTGAGGCCATCGACCCGCCGGCATACCAGCCATGCCAAGAGCCCGACGGATGTGGGACTTCACTGTTTGGATCGCCCTTTCCGCACGCCCGTTGGACTGAGAAGAGACTCCCGCCGTTGTAGTGCGGTGGATGTCCCTTGAGCGACACCACTGGGTGAGGGATCTTCCTCTAAATTCTCCCCCGAGATCAGTGTGAAGCCTCGCCACGTAGTAGCCCATCACCCTGAGCTGGATGTACATTTGCTGGATCGTGGACAGCACCGTCTTCTGATCCTTTGAGGCCATCGGAATGGCGAGTCTGAAGGTGATCAGATCGGGGTTCTCTTTTTCTTCACCCACTTCAACTTCCTTCATCTCTTCACCTTGTTCGCCTTCTTCTGCCCCACCTTCTTCTTCATCACACCTTTCATTTCCTTCCTCCTCATCTTCTTCTTCAAGCAGCACTTCATCAGAGTCAGCCAGTTCATCATCAGGTACTGGCGGATGCTGTTCCTGAGGAAGAAGCCAGGTGTAGGTGCCAACGAGGATGTACTTCATCAAGTCCTTACCATCTTTGGCGACAGGATATGGACCAGCAGTGTCCAGTGACAACGTCGCTGTGGGTGGGTAACCTTTCGATGCGGTCGGGACTTAGCACTTTGCTCCTGGCAGATTCGACAATCTCTTCTAAAGGGCACGTGACCATTTTGACAGTGCTGCTCCCACGTCATCCTTTTTAGCTTCGGTTCCTCCTCCACAATTCCATTGATGTGGAGAGCGCAGGCTTCAGCGACGGAACGACATAGTCCCGGAACCCAGCGAGCAAGTGAGGACGATGGAACCTTCTGACCTTCTCCTCTGCTCTTCGATCCAGGGTTTCTTCCTTTTGGTAAGCGAAGCTCCACATTGGCAGCCAGAGTTGTAGGCTTCACCGGAGCATCCTCCTTCCAGGGTTCATAATCTCCCTGGTTCAAGTGGTGGACTTGTAGATGAGCGGCACTCTGAAGCTTCTTCCATGGCTTCGTACTCCAGAAGGAGACACACGAGGGCATGTAGTCCTTAGGATCGGAAGGCTGCTCTAACAGAAACATCACCTCCTCTCTTTTCTTCTTTTCTTCATCTTCCTCTGTTGAGTCCTTCAACTTGGCAGCCATGTCCGCGACCAGGAAGAGAAAGATCTGACGCCACATCAGGACATCGTCTTCTTGACACATAGCCATCTCTTCAGGGCTGTAGGCACTGATGCCCCATGGCTCCTCCCAGGATCTTACAGGTCTTGGACCACCAGGATAGTGTCGCAAAACTGATCGGGTACGACAGTTGGGTCCTCCAATCACCGCCGCCAAATCCCCATCCAACGCCAAACGAAGCAGGCCCTTGTAGGCCTTCGAATCCAGGGATGCCATATCGTGATCATCACCCCTCTGTAGGTCCACCTCCAAGGTACGGCTTCCCAAGCCATGCTCTTCCATAGCCTTTTGCAGAGTGAATCCTTCACGTTTTCCAGCATATAGATGCAGGATCACCGAACCAGCTGCCTTCAACCGCTTTCGTTGATGTCGGTTGGCAGGGAGGTCCTTCCACTCCCCCGGTTGTTGGACCAGGGCCTTCTTGACATGTTCGGGAAGTTCTGCCAAAGCTGGATGGCCTTCAACCAGCGACTTCATCCACTCCACCTCCCGTTCAGGGTGTACTTCACCCACCAAGCGAGCTTGCTTTACCTCTTGGGCACGATCCTCATACTCCTGGATGAGCTCGAGGGCCAGCTGCTTGGGGATCTGTGGACACCCCGCTTGGATGCTGATCGGCAGAGATCCTTTTGTGGGATGGGCAACTTTCATGCCATGTTTCTTCCGTGAAATCTTGCATCCTCCTCCAGCCAGCATTCCAAGGGGTACTATTGGTTCCACTTGTAGATTTGTTGAAACCATCACCCCCGACTCAGTCATTAACAGAGGTGTGGTGCGGCCATCAGCCAGGGACACAGAGACCTTCTTGAACTTCTCGAGGCTGTCCGTAGACGCAAGAGGCCTCAGGGGATGCGTAGCACCAGAGTCCAACAGTCCCCATTCTTCTTCTTGCAAAGACCCCATCTTCGCTTCGCGAACGCGGGTCAGCTTCAGGGTTTTGATGCTTTTCTTGATCTCATCGAGCTGCTGATGCAATCTGCTCAGCTTGGCTTCCGAAGCTTCCTTGTCCTTCATCGCCTTGAGCATCTTGTTTGCCTCAGCGAGAAGTTCATCCATCTTTTCATCATCTTGACCTCCACTTCCTTTTCCTCCTTCCTCGCCTTTTGGATCCTTCTCTTCTTCTTTCTCTTTCTTAACCTTTGGCGGCGAGTTGGGAGCAGTTCCACCTGAGTTCTCCTTCGTAGGGCAGGTCGGAGCTAGGTGTTTCGTGGAGCCACATAGGTAACACCTTTTCTGTTCATCCTTTTGGTCATGCGACCATTTGCAATCACGGCCACGACGACATCCGGCCTCGCTGAGGAAGAACTTGCACGGCAACTTGACTTCCATCTCCTTCAGCTTGCCTTCACCCCCTTTGGCCTTTCTGTTGATCTCCTCCATCTTCTTTACTTTACTTTCCTCCTTCTTCGTAGTTGCACCACTTCGCTTCTCAGCCAAGGAGAGCTGTTCGATCTCGGCAATGAGATGGGTTGCGAACTGGCTGACCGAGAGCGCATTGGGATTGGTGTCAACTTGGAGGGCATTCCGAGCAAGAGACACCCGGAACCGTAGGCTTTCATTGCCATCCAAAACTCGCTTCGTCAAGCGATTCAGACCCTTGACCAGAATGGACGGGTCGGGTTCGGTGGCTCCAATCTCCTGAGCCCTTGCACGCCAGCGAAGCCATCGACGGAGGCCAACCACCGTGTCGTGCAGATTTCCTGGTTCCGTTGGATCTTCAAGGTTCCGCAGGAGCATTTGTTTCTCGCTTATGCCACCAGGACAGTAGGTGACGTGAAGATGGGCGAGGATGGCGAACACTGACAACCTTTTTGTAGCCACCAGTTCATCTTTCTGAACTTCTGGAATTGCCTTCAGCAACAGGGTGGCCATTCGCCGTTCGAGCTTCGCCCATTTCGGAACACTGAGTGATGATGGAGGCACAGGCTCATGCTTGACCCGTTCCAAAGGAGCCATTGCTTGGTGGTCCTGGTACCACTTCTCAACCTCAGTCATCATTCGATCCCACCAGATGTCAGAGGTGGTCGTCAGGTCAGCCACCACAGGCTGAACAAGGAGCAGCCAATCACCAAGCTGCAGCTGCGAGGTGGAACCATGTAGAGGATGTAGAACAGGTAGTTCAGCCACCTGCCGGACAATCTCCACCCGCTTCACCGTTCCTTGAGCTTCTTGTCCCTCAGAGATCTGTCGTTGGAGGGACTTCATACTTTCCACCAAAAGTGTCATCACTTCCATCTGTTGAACTTCAGGGGACAATTTGGCTCCCCCGGTTGTAGGTCTAGGCCCCTTCATTTCCCCTTTTCCATAGGATGGACTTCGGCCCTTTCTCTGTTGTTCTTTGGAGCGGGACCTGGAACCTTTGACCCCATAGCGAGCCGGGTAGGTCGACCACGGTGTGCGTCCTCGGGCATGTAGGTCGTCGGCTCCTGGAATCCCATTCGGTCCCTCTTCATCAGGGGTGTTGAAGTTGGAGGCACTTCTTGGCCTTTCCATTTCTTCTCTTTCCTTTTTCTTCTTTTCCTCAACCTCCAACCTCTTTCGGTCTTCCCCCTCAATCCTCCATTCATAGAGCTCTTGCTGGAGGCGATCATTTTCACGTTGTTGGGCCTGGCAAAGGTCAGTGAGCCGTTGCACATCCTGTGAAATCTGCCAGCGCCACATGATCTCTTCCTCTTGGTCTTCCCGTTCTCGATCGCGACGGGTCCTTCGAGGATCGTTGGAGCTCTCCTCACATCTTCTCAGCTCCTCACTTTCTTCTTCTTCCATCTCCACCACCCTTCTATACCCTTCTTTCTTACCTCCTTTCTTTCCTTCCCTTCTTTCTTCTTCTTCTTCCAGGAAGGCAGGGCGAGACACCTGAGTAGGCCGATCATCACCTGAAGAGGACGGCATCAAACCTGGGCCAAAGAGCTGGGGAGCAAGTCGAGCAGAGGCCTTAGCTTCTCTGATCTGTTCCTGAGTGAACAGGGGCTGCATGACTTGCGGTGCTGGTGGTGCCAAGGGAGCTAGAATGGCAGGCTTTCCCTTTGGAGCTTCAACCACACTTTCTTTTGACCCACCACTCTTAAACACCTCCAATTCAGTCTTCCCTGTTCCAGTATTCCCCAGCCCTGTCGTCGAACGGGCCGGGGTGCTAAACTCTTTCTTTTCATCTTCATCTTTCTTTCCATCACCTTCCAAAGCTTCAGCCCTGGCCACCAACTCGTCGCTTCGAGGCTCTTCCGGAGGCGGCATCAAGGCCAGGCGGCCATCATCATCATGCTCCATGGTTCGTCGCCGGCGGAGCATGGAGGGGTGAGGTAAAGAAAGTTCTGACGTTGGGCTCATAACCTGTTGGTGTTGGGACATGGTCGTGTTCCCTTGGTAACAAGCTGCAATTCAACGAACCTTCAACGCTGAAAACACTTCCTTTTTCGCGGTGACCTCTGGCCTTGTCTGGACCAGTTAAGGTCTTGATGAGGTGTTCACACCTCATGGAAAAGGGCTGCGGCGTTCACAGCACCTCAAACAAAAGCGTGTCATCCTTGCACAGGGGCCATGCATCAACAATATAATATATATATATATGTTGATGTTGTCAACAATACTGTAAACTTATTTATGTTTGCTTAAAATGTGTTTAATTGTTTAAATGTGTGATTCGGGATGGAACGATGATGAACCCAAGAACCCTCCCAAAATGCCCAACATGTTTCTTGTTGTGGGAGAAATGCCCCATGCTTCGTGTGACTCGTATCTTCAAACCATGTTGGTCTCTCAAACACCCCATGTATTGAGTGAGGCACATGTCTTGTGTTTTCCTTTGGCCATCTCAAAAGGATCCGACCAATCAATTTACACCAGGACAAAAAACAAGTTTCTGCTACGTACCACGACTGGCATGCTCATCATGGTGATAAGCACCAACACCAACACTTGGGAGCCGCTTGGACCACTCCTTCCACACAACTGAATGCATCAACCTCATATCTTCTCTCCGTGCACCTCCCCCAAATGCCCAACTGCGCCTGGCGCCTTGACCCCCAAACCAGAGGCCATCACTAGAGCACTCATCAGCTCATTCTCGCGCGCGCGCGTGCGCGCGCCTGGGAAAGCAGCGAGGCTAGCAGGGACTGGTCAAGTTGGGTTCCCAACTGGGACGCTTTGGTCCCGTACTTCGCAGCTGCCGCCAGGTCGGACTTGGAGGCCGCCAGGCAAAGGAAGCGGTAAATGTCTCCTCGGTGTGAAAACAAAACGTAAGGGCGCCCGGCGTGGAAGGCGGGCTTTGTCTGTGACTCTTGTGAGGAAGTTTCAATGCAATCAAGTCTTATCCAATTTGTTCATTGAACTGGAAGAAGCAATGGACAAGGGAAAGGGACGAAAGGGATTGGAATTTCATGAGATGGAATATGATGGAATCGACATGACAATTAATTCAGGATATCTCTTTATAGATCCAAATAGAATACAGACCTGAGATCCAAATAGACTTTGTGGGAGGATGTTTTAACATGTGTTAACCAAAGACCCAGTGTCCATCGGGTTCGACTTGGGCTCGCTTGGCATTCTGAAGCCATCGCTCCGCAGCCCGGAGGTCCCCTCGAGTGGCGGCCTCTTGGATGAATTTGCCGTAGAACTTCAGGTCGGGCTCAAATCCTCCACGAAACAGCGAAGCAACCGGAGCAAGGCGATGGTGCGATGGTGTAGGTGTTCATTTCTGTGGTTAGGCATTTTGAACCGGTGGTTTTGTGTGTTTTTCATGGTTCAAATCCTCTGGGAGCGGCCCAGTGGGCACGCGGGAGATGCGCGGGAGAAACGGAGTCTCTGCGTTGTTTTTTTTTGAGAAAAGGACAGATTCGCATGGCATGTGTTGCTCGGTTCGTTGCCGTTTTGGAGGAATGGGGGAGGCAAGGGTGGTTCTTCGGGTCCGTGGGTCAAGGACTTGGAACAATATTGACTGCAAAAGGGCCATCAAAACATTGCCAAAACGCTTTACAATTTAAGGCCCACACTGCTCGCGCAGCATTTCGAACACTGCTCCAGCTCTTTTCTGAAAACTTTCCCCCCAACTTCCCAAACCTCCCCAACCACCATCCATCGGACCCGTCCTGCTACGTTTAATTCCAGAAACCAACGCGGCAAACCGTCGTCCTGAGGCGACAAGGACGACCAACGTCCCGTCTGGCCTCGTTTTGGGGGGAGAAGGTCGGTCATAGCGTTTGGGGTCCAACACAACCCCCGGACCGGACCGACAGAAAAACCAGATCCATCCTGAGTCTCACTGTCTCGGTTCTTCCTTTTTTTTTCGCTGAACGAGGAAAGGGTGAATCAAAAGAAAAGAGAACCAACGAGCAGCACGGCCCACCGGCCAACTGCCGCCCAGCCCTGGGTCTGCCCAGCTTGTAAGCCATGCTTCGGGCCCTTCAGCGGCCTTACCACCTTCTTCCCAGTCTCCTGCTTCGGAGGGATCGTGGATCGGTCTGGGAGTCCTGGGCACGATGGTGCTCGCGCGCGCGCGCGATTGCGCGCGCGAAGGCATCCGATTGAGGAGGCGTGAGGCTTCTGGTTTTGCCTTTTAGACCCAAAATTAAATACATATAATTAAGATCTTCACACCTACCTGATATACCTTCACCTCATCTTGAAGCAGTTCCAACAATAATATAACCGCAATAAATCATACCTTATAATTAAGATCTTCACACCTTCACCGCATCTTGGTTCACCTCATCTTGATTCCAACATGTTCCAACTCTCAATATAACTTCTTCCCAAGCATCGGCAAGTTGATCTTATCATCGAACTGGACGGCACGTGCCGTCCGTGACCACGTCGAGTGAAGTCGCCCACTTACAAAGCCGACGCCCAACATGCGCAGTGCGACCCAGACGAACAGGGCAGCCACAGCGGCTGAAGGCCGAGGCAAACGCCGCCGTCGCAGTGTGGGGCTCCATCTCCACACGCAGACCATGCTTCCATACCGGAACCATCTGACTATAGAGAGAAATTCTTAGAGAAAGTGAGTTGAACTTGTTCGTGAACACCTAGCTAGCCATAACAAGAAAAAGGCTTTCTTTGCATCAAGGATCATGAGACTGATGAGACTGTAGCTGTCCATCGCAATCCTGTCGAATCCGTGGAACTGAGCCCCCAAAAACGAAGTCAAGTTCCCAAGTTTTGAAGCATTTTTCCACCTTTTTCCGGTCAAAACCCTTCGGTTGCTCCGCCTTTTGGGGCGGACCCAACCTGCCCGAACGCTGCGGTGCCGACCAGTGCGGCGATGTCGGTTCCGACCGACAGCGTTCCTACGACCCGCGAGCGAATGGAATCACCAAGGCTTTTTGGACTCTTTTCACATGGGACTCCCGGACAACTAGAGCAAAAGCACGTGTTATGACATGTGATAAACTCTATTCGATACAAATCTGGCAATCCAGGGGGGTCAAATCCAGAGTGTTCTACCCAAACCTTTGGGTCATCTACCTAGTTCACCTTCGTCCACCTCTTCGCCGGTGTCGAACTCCGAATTTTCATGGTCCGGCGAACCGTAGGGTTCAACATCTGACGTTGCCGATCTTCAGCTTGCCAGAATTCGAGCAACACTTTAGACTGCTCCACCATGCAGGAGGCAGGCAACTTGAGGCTCATAACAACAAACCGACCAGCAGCACCTTCAAAGTGACCGTCCTTGAGATCCTAGAATGATGTCACTTAGTCCCTAAAGAGGTCACTTCGAGACTCCAAAGAGGTCACTTTGAAGGTCCAGGCAGCTGTGAAAAAAAAAACTCTCCAGATCAACGAAGCGACATGCCATGCTGCCATACCCTGGTGTCTGCCTCCACTTCCAGCGCCTTCGCAAGCCTCTGTACAGGCTCTGTACTCCTCTCCTACTGGTACAAATTGAAAAGTGGCCTGTCCACAGCAAACTGCGGTCACACTGTTGGCAACTTGGCGTCAATGCCCTTCACCACCCGGCAAGCTCTCCCGCATGTGCCTCAAAAGTGAAGGCAGAATAAATCATCTTAATAGGTTGCGACCGTAGTTCTCGTTAAACCAATGGGCCAAGAAAGATTGAATCACCCATCCTGGCCGGTGCCTTCTTTGACAAAGGGTGATCTCATGCTGACTGACAGGTCTTGAACCGGTTTTTCACCGCTGGCGTCTGGCGTTAGACATGTCTTCCGTTCGGTGTCTTTCGCGCCGGTATCGCCATTCGTCGGATCAAGCGACGAGATGGCCCGCTGGAGGAGGTGCTCCCAGGCTGCCCATCACACCGGCAATGCCAGCGCCCTGGCGGCACCCGGAAGGAAACAAGGCCGGCTGGCGTTTGGAGACGATCGGATCGGGTACATGGCGATCGTCGTGGAGAGCGTTAGTCACGAAGAAGGTTGAATTAAGAAGCTTGAAAGCAATCCAAACCATGAAGTTGCTGCCTTGCAGCTCTTGGTTCGTTTGGCGAAGACATGACCAAGTTTGGGGTCAACACTTGCTGAGAGAGGAAAGAGCGCTTCCCAAATCAGGTGACTCACAAATAAACGTCAAGAAAAAACCACGCAAAAACTGGTTGACACCGTTGCCTAATAAGGAAACAACAAAACGTTACATCAACTTACTTCACGTCTTCAGGAATGCTGCACGTCTTCCCCCCGCACGGCTTTTTCTTCCAAAAGCCCACCGAACAAACGCCACCGCCACCGCCAGGTGCCCCGGCCGGCGCGGCTCCACCCTGGCGGTCCGCCGAGCGAGCTCGACCGCCACGGTCCGTCTGCGGGGGTTGCGTGAGGCTCCGAGGGGGGGAAGGCGGTGATCGGGAGAAGTCTTCTTTTCGATGGGGTGAAACGGGAAACCGTGTCCACCAGAGCACCAGAGTTCCCAACAAAAAGAGAACGAAATAAAGACGGAAGAGAACACCCCTCTCCAACTGCTCTCAAACCATAGTAATCATTGATTACTTTTGATGTAACATCGACATTCAAGACCCAAGCTTCCAACCATCTCCCAGGCTCTCAGAAGGTGGCAAAACATCCACTTTGTCCACCGAATTCTCTACCACCCATATACCTCTCCTCTATCGCCCATATCTCCTCCTTCGAGACGTCAGTACCCGATCGTCAGACTCGGCGGTCCGCCTGAGAGGGCACCACGGAGACGGGTTGCCAATAGCCTCGAATCACCGAAGGGTCATGCCTCAGGCGCGCCGCACGCGCCGCGACCCGGGGCCGCTCGCTCTGCGCGCGGCTCCGAGAGGTTGGAGGTTGGAGGTTGGGAGGTTCGAGCCGAGGGGAGAAGTGGAGCGAAAGAGGAACAAGACGTGTAATGTCTTGTTGGACTAGCTAGAGTCTGGAGCCATTGGCTATAGCTACCTATGAAGAACTGTAGAGTTCTTGTTGGCTCACAGAGGCTCGTGCGACTCTTTACCAAGCCCAGTCCGTGGTTGGCAGATGCGGCAGATGCGGGCTCGGGTCTAGCGTCTTTGGGTTTGGGTCTCTGTGCTGCTCAGTCTGCGGCAGAGCATCTGACCAGCCTGGTGCTCCAAAAACCGATTCTGAATGCTGTTTGGAGGACGCCGACGATCCTCATTCTGTGAGGGCAGCACAGAGACGCAGCCACAACAATGTGGATCCTTTCAGTGGTTTCAGATCGTTTCAGAGTAGATAGCACATGATGGCACAGACCCCAAGATGCCCTATCTTGATGGGGGTCCATATAAACCACCTAACTTGGGGATTGTGCCATCTGCTCTGAAGCCACTGTACTTCCACAAGGAGAGGCCAGGGCGGCTGGGTGAACGCACGGCAGCCGATTTGTCCACCTGCGAAAGTGTAGATTTTGTTTCAAATATGTTTTCTATTGTTTTCCCTCACATGGCTGAAAAAACGTGGCCGCTCATGTACCACAGGCTGTGAATCTAGGACAAGGTTGCTGCTCGAATGTGTGAAGCCATCCCAGCCGATGCCATCCCAGTTCTTCCAGCATGTCCGACATCCCACATTGCCTCCATGGTCACCACTCAAACAGAAACAGAACGAACATCCAAACACTTCACGAAACTCTCCCATCTCTCCCTTCAAATCAAACTCCGAATAAAAATCCAAAAAAGACCAGAGACCTCGTCTTCACTGACGAGGTGAAGAAGTCTCGCTCACCTCGCTCCCTCGATCCGCTCGATCCGGGGCACGGGAAGAGGGTGGAATCGTCGAAGGCCCAGCCACGGCCATCGGCCAAGCGGAGATAGATCCGCCCATCGGCGCCCATGAGCTCCTGACGTCGAAGGACCGAAGCGCCCGACACGGCCGACATGTTTTGGCTTGGCCGTGGAGGGCCCCAAAAAGGAGGCTCCGCTTTCGATGTGGATGCATGCTTTGGATCCGTTCGAATGGGCTTTTTGCAGCCGTCTCCGCAGGTCTCCGCAGGTCTCCGCAGGTCTCCGCAGCACCCCGCAGATCCGTCGAAGGAGAAATTCTTCTGGACAGTCCTGTCCGAGCTATCACCTGCTCCGTGTCAGTCCTGCTTCTGGGTCGGAATCTATGCCCTTTTGAGGTCAAAGACGATTTTAAACATGTCCAAAAGGCTATTTAATGAGTGGTGCGTTGCTTCGACTTCGTTGTGGTGGTTAAAAATCCTAGGCTTATGAGTTTCTGGAGCTGGGAGGTGAATCCTCGAACCTGCGGTCGATCCGTCTTCACGCCGCTGCGTGCAGCCAAACCGGCACCGGCACCACTCAGCCATGCAGCTCGCGGCTCCTCCGCCGCGGCGAAGGTGGCGTTCTGGCAAAGGGTCTCACCCGTTCTGGGCGCCTGCCACGCAGGGCGTCGCGGAGGTCGCGTCGTCGCCGCTGGGACGGGACGGATCGTGACGCGGGTTCGGACGCGTCGTCACGCGGGTTAGACGGCTGCGTCGCGGCAAAAGACTGAGGAGTCACAAGAGCGCGTTGAGTGAGGAGAAAGTGAGGGAATGTGAAAATTCATGAAAATTCCCTTGGTAATCCAAGCTGCTGCCCAAAGTGTGAGTCCGTTCAACATGCCTTGATGCAAGAAAAGAGACATGTGCGAAGCAAACTCATCAAGCAAAATCAAGCGAAATGAACTGGCTCCTGCAACACCTGCACCCTCTTCTTAAAGTCTCAGCCTCATCCATTTGAGATCAACCAGACCACCGGGAAGCTCTATGCGCACACAATCCACTGCACAGACGCAGCCGCTCTTTTTCTCGGGTCGTCTGCAGGGAGCTGTACAACTATACAATGCGAAAGGGACACACAGGTCAGGGCTTGTAACGATGTTCATGATTTGAGGAAAACTGGAAGCATCAAACAATCGAGAAAGATGAACCATGAAGAACGTTCACAACCCCTGAAATCACCAGTGTCGAAAATGACGGCAAAGGTATCAGATAGAATGCCATTGGCAGACTTTGGCCCGATGGTCAACCTCACGAAGGCTCTTTGACATTGCTTCTTTGAGTATGTTTTTCAAGGATACAAGGCTCTTCCATGGCACTTCAGCTGTTGCAAACGAGCAGCCACCAGCAAGCCTCCCTCCTTCACCAAGGTCCTCGAGCATCTTCTCTGCAAGCTCCACACCAGCACCTAGGGATTTGGCTGCAATGGTCACCCCCCAAAACGTGCTCAGGCCTCCAACTCCTTTTGCTGCAACACGGAAAATGATGCAAAGATATGCAAAGTGAGTCTGTTGCGCAGGACACTCAGGACTGCGAACCGCTTCAGTCAAACTTGATTCTAACCTCCCTCGGCCGGCCTCACGAGAATTTGGAGAAAGAGATGCCCTTGCCCTTGCCATGATCTAGAGCTTTCCGGTAGAGTGAAAACAGTGTCCCATACATCTCTTGCGGGTGTTCAATGGTGGTCACATGTCTCTTTTGGCGTCACTTTTGTGTCACATGACCCTATCTATGCCACCAAAACCGCCAAAACAAATCTTCTTTTTTCTGTGCCGCCCAGTGGCTATACGCATCATTCACGGAGAAACCACGTGCCCAATCACCTCACAGGT